AATCTTTGTATTCAAACTGCAATAAACTGGGTCTTGAAGACAACCTTCCTAGGATGGTTCCCTCTGAAAGTGACGACCCTTTCTGAGAATATAAATAATCACTAACAGCGAATTTCATCTCTGACCACTACCACTGGTCCAATGCTTTTGTCTTAGAGAGGATTATGATTTTTCTTTATATTTAACCCTCGTCTGTAAAAACGACGACCTGTCACTGATAATGTGAAGGAATGTTCATATATTATTCAACCCACAAACTTTTTTTCAATTTTTATTTAAGACAGCTATCTTTTTCTAATCACGGACATTTTTCAATTTATCACAGAAGATTTAAAATAAAATATTACTCATGCCGAAGTGATAGGTTCGATACCAATGTTAAAATATGGAAACACCTTTAAAAAAACATGTTTCTTTGCTTAATATGGTGTAGGAAATCCGTTGGCATCCAAAACAGCTTGCAGTCTTCTTGGAATGGATAAAATACACTTCCTGTATGTTTGCGAAGGGAATATTATACCATTCTTCCTGCAAAACGGTGGCAAGTTCAGATAACGATGTTGGCGGTGGATAACGAGAACGCACTTTCCGTTCCAATGTAGACCACAAAGGTTCGATAATATTCAGGTCTGGTGACTGTGGTGGCCAGGGAGATGGGACAACTCATCCTCGTGCTCAGAAAACCAGTCCTGGACAATGTGAGCTGTGGGAACAGGGGCTTTGTCGTCTTGGAAGACACCATCACCATCGGGGAACAAAGTTTGTACCATAGGATGAACTTGATCGGCCAAAATGTTCACGTAAGTCTTGGGCAGTTCATGTGCCCTGACACAGTTATCATGGGGCAAGCAGAGAACACGATATGGCTGCCCAAACCATAACAGAATCCCCGCCATGTTTCACTCTTGGCAACAAGCAGTCTGTATTATAGGCTTGAGATGGCGTTCTCCAGACGTAAACTCGGCAAGAAGTGGGAAACAATGTGAAAGAAGACTCGTCACATCATATTACTCGCTTCCACTGCTCTATAGTCCAGGCTTTATGACTTAAACATCACCTTTTCCTGTTACGGGCATTAGCATCACTGATGAGTGGCTTCTCAATTGCCCAGCAATTCCCTGTTTATGAAGCTCCCTTCTAATTGTTTTGGTACTCACAGGGTTCGGTAACACAACATTCATTTCAGCAGTAACTTTTGCAACTGTGGTCTTATTTTTCGTCACAATTGCCCTTAATGATCGTCTGTCACGATCACTCAGGACACACTTTCGTCCGCGCTGTGAGTTAGCAGATGATGTTTTTCCGCTTTTCAAATATGCGGAATAAATCTTCGATACAGTACCTCTTGAAACACTAAAACACCTCGGCTACCTTGCTACGGAAGCACCTACCATACGTACTCCAACAATTTGCCCACGTTCGTTCGAAGTCTGTTAAACTCTGACATAATGCAATGAACACCTCACATAACAGTACTCCGACAACAACTGAACTGTTTAGCACATTTACGAAGTTGTATAGGTGGCGTCAGTAGTCAAAAACGCCAGCGCCACCTACATTTCATTAAAATCAATCTTTCTTTTCAAACATGCATTTCACAAGGTGTTTCCATATTTTTGTCCATCCACTGTATATTATTCTGGAATCCAGTCCGCTTCAAAGCGCATTGATAAATTATTGACCTTCATTAATAATAACAAATGATCCCAAGAAATTTTAAAATGTGGACTACAGAATAAGTAGAACTGAAGAAAGATGAACTTACAGAAGAAAGATGTCTAGTGTAATTAAGTACCTGACAGATCCCATATTAGTTGTTACATAGTGCATTTATCAGTGTCATATATCAGTTGAAAAATAAAGAATTATCTTCATCGTATATTATTGTATATAACGTTTTTCCTGTATTTCTATTTGTTTTCTCTTATGTAATAATCAAAAGTAATGTAATACCTTTCTATATAAAACTGTTTGACTTTGGACCACGGTAAGGAAGTTTCTTCTTCCTTACCGCTTACCTCCGGATAACAGTCGGAAGGTAGAGTTCGAATTTCGGTGAGGGCGCAGTCGATTTTTCTCTTTTTTTCCAAAAAATATTAAAAGTAACTCTATACAAGTGGCGCCCGAAATAAATGATAATTCTTCACTACCTGGATTTGGCGATTGCGTTCTGTCTTCCTAGTAACTCTTTCAGTGGAGAGAATCTAATTTTTTTCCTTTTTTACCGTGTGCCCAACTGGAAGCAAACGCAGTTAGCAGTCGGAAGACAGATGAGTTTGCGTGTTTCTAGCTTTGAAAAGCTTCGACTTCGCTAAGTTTTAAATTTAATGAGAGTGTTATAGTTCTTCCAATCAGTCTTGATAGGTATGATTCTCATTCTCTATTAGAAGTCCTACATTAATCGCTGATAAGCCTAAACCGCGGAGCAGGCTGTAAGTATTTGCATTATTTGCATCTGAGTATTTAAAAGTATGAAATGAGGAGCATTTTAAGTAGAATTTGTAGGCATCTCGGGTTCTCTGCCTATAGGAAATCAAAAACCGCACGTTAAAACTGAATGCTTACGTGGCGAAACTGCTAAATGGATCTACAGTCTTCCCGCTGGGCTACTTGCTTTCATTAAAATCTTCAATGGGTACAAGGAAACCAAAGACCAGAAAATTTCAATAGATGAAGGAAGTGTGAAATTGTGGAGGGATAAAAAAGAAAAGAGATCTTTCAATGATTTGATAATAAAAGTGAAATATTTCTGTCTCAAGTATTTGATATTGAGAAAACATGATTTACAGACTTTAAACCAAGATTTGAAATCGATCTTAATCCCTTCAAAAATTTCGAGCTGCATAACCGTAGGTAAATAATTACCTCTATTTAGGATTACTAAGGAATCACCACTGAAGATAAAATTCCATGCTAAAAGCGTATGACTGCAGCATATTAATGAGTGGCTTGTACACAAAACCACTTGACATGTTCAAGGATGAACAGTTCATTTTTAATTCTACAAAACTCTAGTTAATTTACGAACCCTTGGCAACTAGAACTTCAGTGAAGAGTCTAGCGACTGTTCGCCGGTCTTCTTACAACTATAAGGATAAAGTCCGAAGACGGGTTAAAATACCCTTGTATTCACTCAGAGAAATACTAATAAACAGCCTCTCTCAGGCTAACTCAACTTTAGCCGAATCTGAAGAAAAATAACTAACCAAATTGCCTGTAATTAAACCTCACGGGCGAATACTAACTGCACCTAAGACTATTGCCGAACGTAGTAAGATAGGTTAAAGCTATCAAGTGGTCCGAAGGCAGAACACGCTCCACTAAGATTTTGAGCTCTTCTACGGAAGTGACTGAACTTTCCATTAAATACTGGTTCCACTTCATTTACATAAAACGGAATACTGAAAAACTCATTCTGGTAATAAGTTGTAAGTGAAAAACAAGAATTTAAAAGAAAAGGTTCCAGAATTAAAAATAACTATTAGAAAATTAAAATAATCCTTACAACTCTAATGAGCGTCCATACACAGGAAAGTTGTCACAGATCTGCTGACCAAGTACGAGTGGAAGGTTTTACCTTACCCCATCATAAAATTTCTCCATGAATACACTAGATTTGAAATTCTTCTCCAAATTGATAAAAGTCTTAGACGAACATTTCCTCTATAAACGTTCCTTAAACTGTCATCCAAGCTATCTAAGGACTAAATAAAGAAATATTCTAAAAGGTTTAGTACATTTTTTTTTTCGAGACATTGAACTGCAACTGTTGAGAAGGCGAGGGACTGTACAGAAGGATCATAAGTTAAAAATTTCCTGACGTATCATAAAACTTGAAGAAAAAGTATTTAAGTGCACTTTTAATGATATTCTTATTTGTCTTTTGTGCTGTCCCAATAGTCATTACTTGTAACATGGCCATGAGATTACTTGGAAGAAACGGAATTATTTGCCATTTTCTTTGTTACTCTGACAACTACGCAAGATAGATATTAGGAAATATGTTACACAATTCTGGTCATAATTGAATGCAGTTAAAGAAAGTAAATTACTGATCGATAAAGAAATGTGTCGTTACATGGTTTCTGTTTTAAAATGCAAATATATTTGAAAAATAGAACTAATCGTTTGGTCGGAACTTATCGCATTTATGGAGCCAAAGGGCAGCATTGAGCTTGGGAGCCAAAAAATACGCACATAGTCCTTGCCCATTCTACAGTATTTTCTGCTATCTTTGTTGTTATCCCATGTACCTTTCTCTTCCTTCTTTCATTTTTAATCGCTAGTTTTGTTTTATACTAATAGTTTGTGTTAGTTTTTTTTAATTGTTTTGCAATAAAAAATGTTTAGAAAGAAGATACACACTTAATCCGAAATTGACAATAAATAAGGTAACGCATTATAGTAGCTTAAAAAAATGCACATTCAGAAAGCTGCTGTACTGTTAAGTCCTGATTCCAAACTATTACGAATAATTTGTTGAATTATTTGCGAAGGTTGGACAGAGTGTTGGACATTCATTATCATGTATATAGCTCAGAAATATATTTAAAATGTAAATACTTTAGAAAATTCTGCTACGTGAACATAAGTTTCAGAAACTGTCCGTTTAAGAAATTAACAGACTTACATTTTAAAACTCAGAACATTTTCAATTTTATTTATTCTAAATTCAGTATTTTGAGATATATGACAAAAAAGGAGTGTGTGAGGATTCTTGAGAAGTAGGATTTTTATAACTTGAATTTAATTCTTAGGGTGAGATGAAAATTTTCCAAATAACAAATAAAACTTCTTAAACTCTGTATCCATACGTTATTTTGTTAATTAGTAACACTTTGCTAGATAACAGGAGGTGAGGAACAAGAATTATCTTATCACTTAATGCGTAGGAGGAAATGAAGAGGTTTCGATAAAAGGAGGAAAATCGAGAAAATATTTTTGACGTTAATCTAACCGCTACACAGACTGTGAGATATTATCAGAATATACTGTTCAGTGTTTTACACTCTAAAAATTTTCAAGAAACCAATGATTATTATATAATAGATTTTGTAGTGCAGCTGCTAATTTCTATCCTGTCAGCTTCAAGTATATTGTTTGATATGATGTTCAAAATGTATTTTTCCCTGGAAACATCCCATCATAATTCCTTCTTGACAGCAGTGTTGGAATGAATTTGAAAACTACGTTGTTCGAACTACAGATTAACGTGAATAAACGGCTGACGAAGAGAAAATGTGCGCACTTCATAATGAAGAGCGATCTTCAAAATGTGTTCCCTGTTTACTCACTAGAGTGCTTTCTTTATGGCAACTTATTCCTCAATGAGTTGGAGTAAAGTTTCATTGAAAAACCGTTAATCGAAGATATGGCTGTTCTGAAAAATACTTTTCTATACCTGGAAATACTATGGATGATCTTAATAGTGGCTAATAATTTATCGACGATACTTATTGTGTTATCACATAAGAATATCCGAAGCTCGGTTAATAATTTCCTTTTGAGTCTGTTCACGGGGAATCTACTTTATGGATTTTCTGTTGCTTTTAGTGCAGTGATAACATTATATCCTAGCATGACACTAAACTGCAATTATTGCTGTGCGCTGAACTTCACAGTGATAATAATTCCTGCTCTGGGTATTCTGTACAGTTTAACTGCTATGACCATTGACAGATATATTGCAGTTTTCTATCCACTGCGATATCCTCAAATTGTAAAACCTAATGTAGTGAGAGCAGTAATCCTAGTCATCTGGCTGACGTCAATTATGACTGGTTGCATTCCAGTTTTTTGGAATAATATCACGTGGAACAAGAAACTTCGAGCTGCCTGCTTCTTCATAAACGTCGTGCCAAAATTCTACATATGGTCCTTTATTATACCTCCAGCCATCCTTACAAATATAATTATCTTGTACGTGTATTTAAGAATCTGCTGCTTGAGGCATAAAAACTTACGTCGAATAGCAACTTTGCAAAATTCTAGCCAGGATGTTCACAGTTTTGTCAATGATTCAAAAACAACAGTTACAGTAGCGATTATAATATTCAGCTGCGTTTTCGCATTGGTTCCTTTCTTAGTCACTTTGATACTTATAATCACCAAAGTTGTGGTTATGAATTCCATATGGTTGTGTTCAGTTACTTATGAGTTAAGTTTCATCAATCCTATGTTCACGCCTATTATATTTGCTTGGCGAAATGATAGTTTTAAGAAATCTTTAAAAGCTATGTTCCATAGGTATAAGCGAAATAAGATCGTGTCTGTAAGGAGGCGATCGGAGATTACAGAAATTATGGCCTTAGCATCTACGTTTACTAGTCATGATTAGAAGAGTTTTAATGAGTTGATAACAAATCATGAAAGTGCACAGATAGAAAAAATTATTGAATCATTTACTTTCGGCTTAATGTAACTTTGTATTCAGAACAAAAGACCATCCTAGAAATGAAGGGAAATTCGATAGCATAGCAAGAATTTATGATGTGAAGAGATTTTAAATAATGTTACATAAGCCTTATATTCATTTTAAATTAATTTATTTAATGAATTTTATTCGCATTATTTTTTTTTTTTTTTTTTTTTTGTTTATAATACAGCCTAAATTTTAAATATTGCTTAACTTTATTAACATATAGTAAGTGCATGTATCCTTTCGTTAAGCAACTGAGTTATCAATTTTGTATTAAATATCCAGCAAATTTTTGTCAAAAAATGATAAATTAATTTAGTTTCAAGAAATTTTAAAAACTGTGAAGTTTCAAATAATGATAATTTGACGTAAGCCTGGATGCATTAATTTTGTTGTTAAAGTAGTTTTATCACTCATATTCAGCATTACGACATCAGAAACCATTTTCCCATTTTCGCAATTTTATCCTGTTAAGTAATGCAATAACGTATTAGTATTTTTATTGAAATACGTTACATTCTAACGTGTAAACTGTATTATCGACTCATTGCAGTTTCGTAACTCGAAATTGAAGTGGTTTGGTTTGGTCTATGTGATTACGGCAAAGCCTCGACGGCTATCTGCCTAAGGAGAGGGATGGTTTCGTGGAGGACTTTCTGAGGGTAACACGTCACACATGAGTTAAACGACGAAATTGAAAGGAGCAGAGAAAATTTTGAGAATCGAAAGTTCAACGTATCGAGAATTGCTAACGCTAATTTCATTACTTGAATGTAATTAGCTAATGCTAACTTTTACTTTAATTAGCTAACATTAGTTACATTTCATTCATTTATTTTATTTCAACTCTAGATTTCGAAATTCAGTTCGACTTCTCGAAGCTCAAAGCACTACAAGTATAAAATAATTAGTTTACAATCACAAAGGCAGGTTTTTGTTTTCTTTCATGGAAGAACGAAAAGAATAAATAAAAATGAAATGGTGGTACATGGAAATCGACGGATCGATGCATGGCTGACCACGTTCATGTACAAAGCACCTTTCAAATTGCAATAGTGCAATTTTGAAGGTATATCAGAATGAGTCATACTTTAATATTTTTTTCGAGCAAGAGAAACCATTTGAACAATGGCTTAATGATTTTTAGAATGACTTGATCAACAGTGTGTTGAGATTTTGCTCCAAAAGCTGTGATTTCCAATTACCTAGTCATGTAAGCTGTTATGATCCTACTATCATACAGAACTAAAAACGATTAGACTTCAGAATGAAGTCCCATTATAGAGAGGTACTATTACTGCACACATGGCAGAAATGATGTTTCATTTTTCACTTATAAATATCAATATTGTAGTTACTTATGTGTCCAGGTTTTGCACAGATACATTTTTACTCGATTTTGATTTACCACAAGTAAGAAAAAAGTCCAGCGCTCTTTTTCAGATAATGTAGTGAATAGTTTATAAATGATTACTTGATTGTATAACATAACTAGGAATAAGGATTTGATAGAAAATATTGATGTAATTTATTTAGAAATTATTTATACTGATACTGAACCAATTTTCTAGTTTTCCATAAACTTTTCTTGAAATTTTTAATTTTTGCATAAATTTCTCGGAAACATGAATATTATCTCTGTATCACCAGGAAACAAATTAAGTACACTGCGGGGGGGGGGGAACAGTTCTATATCTCCCGTCCTACTGCGCCGATTGACGAAATTCAACTTGCGTTTTTCATATCCCGAAAGCGCGACTTAGGATATGTATTAGATTTATATATAGCATTGTTCTCCTAATATAGGTATTTTGACACAAAATCGAACTTTTTCTGAAATAACGTACCACGTTTTTTCCATATTTCAATTCTACGACTAAAATTACGCCAAACTACCAAGTTTTGTAAAAATCGCACGAATAGTTTTTAAAATATTAGCTCCTCAATGTTCATTTAGTTTGGTATATATTTATTAATCTCTCTTTGTTTATTAAACTTATTTGATTCTTCCTTTCACATTTCGAAATTTAAGTTCATTCCAAATAAAATTCACCCATTTTTACTTCCTTGTACGAAGTAAAAAGGAAGTATTGTGATCGCGAAAAGTTTCAGCCAGCAAATATCAACGAAATATCCATTTTTTGACGCTTTCGAATGCAATTTAACGATGTTTTTGCGTGATATCTGTACGTAAGGACAGAATAAAAGACTCGTTTCCTCCAAAAAAATTATAAAACTGCTTTAAAATAAATTCTGAAGAGAAATTTTCGTGGCGTCTGTACGAACGTATGTACGTACGTGCGTGCGTACGTACGTATCTCGCATAACTCGAAAACGAGTAGCCTCAGAACGTTGAAATTTTGTATATAGAACTGCTATAACATGTAGACGTGTACCTCGTATTTTGGTTGCAATCGGCCGCACCAAACGTATATAAATACTATATTTATATATATATCCACTCTGTTAAAGGCACAGTGATCTCAGTTTCTTTACTCTTATATGTTTGTAAATTGTACATTTTTTTGCTTTAAAAATGATTGAATTATATTGTTCTTATCTTCTGGTTCTTATCTTCCGGTTTTTATGCCTTTCGTAATTCTGGAAGCAATATTTGTACAATTATCAACAATTTAAAAGCTGTTTAAGTGCGGTTAAGTTTTAAATAACATGGCGGACATATTTTTTTACATTTGAAACAGCAGAATTGTAGATTTGTTGCCAATCTAGAGAGACTAAGCTTCGCAACAACAAAAATAATGCCTTCATTTATTATTGCGAATTATAGCGCAACAATAAATGAAGGCAGTATTTTTGTTGTTATAGAATAATATAATATAATTATTAAATTATAGCGGGTTCCTACAAATTGAAAACAAATTAGAAAAATTCGATAACTATAAAATACTTCAGTTGTCCGAAATTTATAAAACCTTTAAGCTTCCAAAATTTATAAAAATTACCTGAACGCAAAAGGGTCAACGGATCACTGTGAGGTGTTAAGGTGTTAAGGTGAAACACCGAAATCTGGAGAATGTCGACTTTCACCGGTGAATGTCAACATTCACATAGTCGCTTGGTGTATGTCCGAAATATTTTCCAAATACCCTTATTCCTGACTTACACCAGTGAATGTCGTCATTCACCATGTACTAATGGTGAATGTTGAACATATAAGAATATTATATTTCCTTCTCCGTAATTCATTCGCAAAAAAACGCACTTGAGACTCAGAATAAGAACTTAAGAACATAAGAACTTAAAACACACAGTACATTCAAAATGAGAAAGGAAAATATAAATTTGGTAAGTTATAAACTTACCAAATTATGTGATTCAAATCTTATTTATTGCAACAACTTAAACTATTATGACACTTTGAATTGCACAAGAGGCCCTTGCTTTTACAACTGCATTTATTTGTGAAACACTTCCTTTTGGAATGGCAGCGTGTACATATACTCCTCTCTTACACCAGAGCATATTTGTGATTGTCGACATACACTGGTGAGTGTCCGAATGTACAAGAATGTAAAGAAATATTCGATCTTTCACCGACGTATTTGGTGAATGTTGACATTCTCCGGTGAAAGTCGACATTCTCCAATTTCGGTCTTTCACGGTAACATATGCATACCATGACAGAAATACAAGCTTGAAAGCAAGTTATTTTTTATAATAAAGTCTGTGGGCGATTATCCGAACTATGAAAATTTATATTTTTAAGTAGATAGCTAGCAGTTGGCATCGATATAACTCTTCCCAGATAGTCTTCTGCATGCTTCATGGGATCTAGGTCAGAAGATTGTTCTGACCATTCCAATATTTCTTTCCTATCTGAGTATTACTTTTCCAATTAATGAAGATGAGCGTTTGTTATCTTGTAAGATGAGTGCATCATCAGCGCTCTTGTATGAAAATCATGATGTTCAAAGATTCTATCTCAACTTCATCTATTAGTATTCAGCCTCGTTGCTCAGCATGTAGAGTTTTCTATGTCTGCCTGATGGAATCCCACCACAAGCAAATGCCATTTCTTTACATATTTTCGAATTACGATTGGAATTATAACAAATACCTCTTTCTCCTAAAACTTGTAATTTTCGAACCTAATGCGTGAGGAAGTTTACCGATCTTCAGATCTGTTCACGTGGCTAGCTACTCTACCCTGAGACGAACTCTAAAAAGTGCGCATATTACTCACCGTATAATAAAAGATCTTCTTCATAAAGTCTTCTATGCGCAGTAGAATCTGACACGATGGTTAGTTTAGAGCGGCAAAAACGAAATAGAGTTGCGTCGAAGTGCTTGTTCTACTCGCCTGTGCAAATCATCAGTAGTCATCGTTGCTCTTGATTTCTTCGTTCAAACTTCTGAATACCGAATAAGTTGGTGAAACTTATTGGTCAATAACATCTCACTGGAGATCTTAATTTGGTTAAGTATCATTCTTTCTTGCAAATTGGCAATTTCGAGTTTTCTAACGTTTACAATACATAAATTTCTTTCGAAAATTGTTACTTCACGCTTTTCTACAACAACAGCATGAAGCAGCGATTAACATCACATGATATCATTCCATAACTTTTGCATCACGTCTTTATTTACCTCAGCAGATTTAATGGCAAACGTGTCAACAAAACTGTTTTTTTTAATTGGGAATTTCCTAATTGTCCTTAAAGTTATGGAAATGATTATATATGTACATAACGTATATTCAATAACACTTTGATGTTCTTCGTTATTAACCTGAAAAAGTCAGTTACTCTTTCAATTTTTTTTTTTTTTTTTTTTCATTTTTAGTTTTATAGTTACAATTACAGGTGCACTTAACTATAATTTAGCAATAAATTACAAATAGAACTTGAAAATGTATTATTAATCAGCTTATTTACGTAAAATTTAAAGCTGTTTTAAAATATAATTTTTTTTAAATTTATTACTCCTTTAAAAATTTTAATATTTTTATTCTAATTATTATTATATATGTGATGTACCAGCATTTATGTATCATCGTAGCTTAAATTATCAGACGATAAGTTTTAAAAGAAAAACAACAGGATCCATTTATTCAGGAGAAATAGCAGTTACAAAATCAGATATCCGGAGTAAATAAAAAGAATTACTAATAACTTTTTGTATGAAGTTTACTGCATCGTGACATTTAAGAAAAAGACCCGATATTCCTTTTGCGAGTCTTTTTATAGCCTCTGGAAAGGCGAAGCTTCCAAGAAATGACGTCAGCCTCGTCAGCCAATCCAGTTCACTTTAAATACTTCCAGAACATTCTATAACTGTACGTGCAGAAAAGGCGGTAAAAACAACTTGACTACGGGGCTGTGGATTTAATTCCATGTACTTTCAAATAAGAGAACGTCGCCATTAAAAATGAAAAGAACACATACAGTTAGAACTTTAAGTGTATTCTTGACTATGGAATTTTATTATTACAAATATATATATATATATATATATTAAAGAATAATATAAATTCGCTTCATAAAATTGGGCATGGAATTTTCAGGCTTCTTTTATTAGATATAAAAAAGAGCTTTTTGATGTCATGCATAGCGAAAATCGACATATTCTACCTAGTTACCTTAAATTTAAATAATGTTTTTAAATAACTCTAATGTTAATATTAATTCTATTTCAAGTCTCATCAAACATATAACAATAAATATGTAAAAAAATTTGAAACCCCTATCTTTATTTAAAAAAGAATTTTAAAATCTTAATTCTTAATCTTTTAAAATCTCTTCAATTCTCTTCTTTTAAAATCTTGATTTTCAACAAATAATGAACACAATGGAACACCAGTTTATAATAACCAGTTTAACAGCAGTTCTCTCTAAATTTCACCGCAAAATTTTATTAGATACATAAACGAATGTATATCCGAAATATTAACCCCGAAATCATTCTAAAACTATGTAAACACCCTCGGTAGATTATAATCATTTAAAGCATGCTAACTGCGAACAGAAATTTCATTTCACCAACGAATGTACAATTTATTATTTTATTTAAAACGCATGTCCATTACTTTACAGAGCGATAGAAGCGAACTAAATAGGAGTTGAATTATAAATTTATACACTGACTACCAATAAGTATTTGGACACCTGTGATAGAAAAGAAAAACTAACTTTATTCAAAATCAATAGTTGGTAGAGCCTCCATGAGAGGTAATTACAGCGTGGACCCGCCGGGGCATACTTTCCACAAGTCTTTGTATGACAGCTAGTGGTATTTTCTTCCACTCGGCTTGGGGAAGACATAGGAGCTCCTTCACCGATTTTGCACGGGTAGTGCACCCCTGAATTCGGCGATGCAACTCGTCCCAGAGGTTCTCGATAGGGTTCAGGTCTGGACTCTGGGCAGGCCAGTCCATTCGATGAACTCCATTGGCTCCACACCAAGGCTTGGTTAACGTCGAAACATGACAACTGGCATTGTCGTCCTGAAAGTAACAGGGGTCCAAGCCGTAAAACTGCCACAACGTAGGAAGTACATTGTCATCCGAAACAGTGTATTAGTCATCGGAGTTGAGCTTACCATGAATGGGGATCAAGAGTCCCAACCCATACCAGGAGAAACACCCCGACCATAATTCCACCTCCGCCGAACTTGACTGTTGGCACAATGCATTCTGGCAGGAGACGTTCTCCAGGTAGACGCCAGACCCAGACCCTGCCATTCGAAGGGTAAAGGGTGAACCTTGATTCGTCACAAAAAAGAACCCGTTTCCACTGATCTACGGTCCAATTTCGATGTGCTTTGCACCACATTAACCGAGCAGCGCGGTTGGACTTTGTGATCAAAAGTTTATGGGCAGCAGCACGACCATGAAAACCAAGCAGACGTGCTTCCTTACGAATGGTATTCATTGAAATAATACTCCCGGATGCCTGTTGAAACTCCTTGCGGATGAGGGCCTTCGGTTGGGTGCGGTTCTTCCGAATTTTTCTGGACAGCACTCGTCGATCTCTATCTCCCAGTTTCGTTGGTCTGCCGACTCGGGGCACATTCCGATAATCACCGTTCACCTTCCACTTCTTAATCACATAGGCCACTGTCGATTTTGGGTACTTCAGATCGCTAGATATGTCCCTTAAGGATCGGCCACATTTGTGATACCCTATAATTATACCTTTCTCGAAATCAGAGATCTCCGAACTGCGAGGCATCTTGCATGCGACTAAAGCCGATGCTGTTTCCTACACGATATATACCGGCGTAGTCCGTGACATACCTTAGGACCGCAGATATCGTCATTTGCATAGGTGTCCAAACACTTATTGGTAGTGAGTGTATATATAATTCATAAATGCGTAAACGGAAACGATATAACAACAAAGATAAATGTTTAAATAAATAAAAAAAATTTAGGTTGAACGATACCGATTTGCAATTGCGATGCTCTAGATACCGTGTTTCCACGATAAGAAGACCCGGTCTTGTATTAATTGTTGACACGCTAGAGCTTATTTTCAGGGGAGGTATTATTTTCCATGCACATTTGGTCAAGTTCAAGGAACACATTTCTTCAGGTTCAAAAAATACATTTATTCACGTTAAAGAAACGTGCAAAAATGAGCAAAATCGTTTGTTCTAATACAGCCATGTCGTCTTCTTCCAGAACATTGTAATGTAACTAGTAACCAGCGGAAGGAATGTATATCGTGGAGAGATCCCTCTGATCAATGGTAGATTAAGATCCTTAAGTAGTTTTTAGTAGAAGAGTTTGAGATCCTTGAGAACTGTAGTTTCATCCATAGCAATCATGTTCGAGAGTTGGTAAGAGAAGTCGATATCATCATCGAAACACATCAATGCAAGTGTACGTTCAATCACTCCAGTATCTTCCAATTTGAATAGTGTTGTGTTCTTTTTAGAAACAGTTCATATCGCTGAAGGAAGTCATCCACTCAGTGTTGTGATACAATTAATTCATATGGCGGTATGTCTAGCTGCGGTTTCATTGCAAGGGAAAATGCTTTAATATCAGCCCTACAAACAACCAAACACGTTACTCTTTTTTCAGCAATCCATTCATATCGACCCTATCCATACCTACGCTTCTTGGCATTTCCCTCACCGACTTGTTGACTGAAGTTATTGCACTCTGATGGCCACTTTTGGACCATTCGCAGATCCAACTTCATCTAGTATGTGAAGAAAGTTGTAAGATTATTATTCCTGGAATTTATCACAGTTCCTTTTTTGTACTCGATGTAATATTTCCTTCTTTTTGCAGTCACTTTATCTGAGCATAAAAATTTATTATCTTTTAAATTATTATTAAATCAAGTGTTAAACGTCCGTTGTTAAGGCGACATAGTGAATACTGAAGATTCTAATTTTTCGCAACCACGTCCGTTTGTTTCAAATGTGCTTGTGTTTTGCGTCTGCACTTGGTCTTTCGGCGTGTGTGTGATTATGGCAAAGCCTCGAGGGCTATCTGCCTAAGGGGAGGGATGCCTTCGTGGAGGTCTTTCTAAGAAAAACTGGCTCGTATACAGACTTGGTCTTTCGCAAGAAGGCAACAGTTTGGCTGACGATCTTAACTAGGGCTTATGTCTGGAGTAACCTGAAAAATCATGGTAGGGCTTATTTGTTGATTAGGTCTTATTTTAGGAGAAATACGGTAGTACTTTCAGAAAGCATAACTAGGATCTATGCTAGTGTAAGTTCTTCAACTAACTTTTATTCAGAAGGTACAAAAAGAATCTTATTTGTAATGATAAATAATTTTTTCCATGGAAATCAATGTAAACTAGGATAATGTGTTCCATTCCAGGGTAGGGGGACTTAATCAAATTTATAATAATGTAATTTACTATTTACACAGCATCCTTTGTTACAAGACAGTTTTTTAAGACATCTGTTTTTGCCTATGCCTCAACATTTGGCGAAATTGAGACAATGCGTTATCATTAAATAAACCTGAAGCGCGCATAGCTACTGTCTCGTAGATGATGCGGCCCGGCGGTAAAATCGCTGAACACTGCTAATTCCGACATGGGTTCGATTCCAGGTGAACGGGCGTTTTTGTGGTTTTCCCCACGTGTACGAAAAGCCAGTTTCCCTTAGAAAATCTCCCGCGAAGGCATTTCTTCTCTTAGGCAGATAGATAGCAGTGCTTTGCCATAATCAACTAAACCAAACCAAACCAAACCACTGATGATACTCAGCAATGTACGATGCAATAATTTCTCATGCTTTCAACATCTCCACGATTTCCCTTTACTGAGGCTGTTATCACGTCCTAACACAGAATGCAGCTCCATAAGCTCTTCGGTGGTCAGCTCCTGGCACTCTTCCACTAGTTCATCGATGTCGTTGCCATCCACTTCTAGCCAAATAATCTTGGCCAGTCACACTATCTCGCCAATTACAGACTCCACAGGCACTTGCTTAAACCCCCAAGAGTCGTGTTCGACATTATCCGGCCAAAGCTTCTTCCATGCAGAAATCAAGAGTTTTCTTGGTAACTCCCTCCCATGCTTTGCCGATCATCTGAAGCAGGCAAAGATGCGAAAATGGTCTTTCCAAAACTCTCTGAGGATAAGACTGTTTCCTTCAGTTACTTGAAAACCATACTCAAAAAGCTTTTCAGTATGCAGCATTTTAAGATTTGAAATGACTGCTAGTCCATGGGCTGGAGTAAAGAAGTGGTGTTGGGAGGCAAGAACTGGTGTAGTGCTGGGATCTTGATAAATTTAAATTCTTCAAGGTTATCTTCTAGGCCTGGAGGATGTGCAGGAGCATTGTCCACAACATGCTTGACACGGAGTGGCAAATTCATCTCATGCAATTTTTTTTTACAGATGGATCAAATAGTTCATTGATCTAATCTGTAAAAATGCGTCAGCCAACCCTTGTTTTTGGACCTGTACAGAAGATATACAGACAGAATCGTTATCTTTGTTGTTGCAAAGCTAAGTTTCTCTAGATTGGCAACAAATCCACTAGTCTGCTGTTTCAAATGTAAACAATCAATGGCCGCCATAAAAAAAAAAGGCTTAGCAGCACTTAAACAACTTTAAAATTGTTGATAATTCTAACATATTGCATAGAGATTTACTAAAGGCTTTAAAACCTTAACCGAAAGATAAAAACAACATAGTTCAATCATTTTTAAAGCAAAAAATGTACAATTTACAAACATATAAGAGTAAAGAAACTGAGATCACTGAGCCGGGTAACAGAGTGGATATATATATAAATATATTTATATACGTTTGGTGCGGCCGATTGCAACCAAAATACGAGGTGCACATCTACATGTTATAGCAGTCCTATATACAAAATTTCAACGTTCTTGAGGCTACTCGTTTTTCAGTTATGCGAGATACGTATGTACAAACATTCGTACACACGCCATGAAAAATTCTCTTCAGAATTAATTTTAAAGCAGTTTTATAATTATTTTGGAGAAAATGAGTCTTTTATTCTGTCCTTGCGTACAGATATCACGCAAAAATATCGTTAAATTGCATTCGATAGTGGTCAAAATGGATATTTTCGTTGAAATATGCTGCCTGAAACTTTTCGCGATCACAATACTTCCTTTTTACTTCGTACAAGGAAGTAAACAAAAGACAATGTAAATGTAAAAGAATTGTTCTCAAGTGATGGCACTGGAACTGAAATAACAAGAGATGTGATGAGCTACAAGAGATTTGTATTTCTGACAAGGTGTCTTAGATTCGATGATAAACCATCAATACAGGACAGAGGAATATTAAAATTAACTTGGAGTTTAAAATATAGTTATTAAAGAATAAATTTAAAATTGTGTAAAATGAAATACATAACTGTCTTTCCACTTGACTAATATAAGCATTTAAAAATAATTTACTTTCATTTGAATGTGACATCATTTGTATTTTGCAATAATAAGGTTAATATTTTATTTCTTAACAAACTGATTATGAACATTCACCCATTTATATAGTTTTTGTTTTGGCCAAAAGCGGTAAAACAACAAATATCATAAAAAATACAATGCGCGAGTGCTTATGTAAAATTGCCAAGCGAGTGTGCTGGAAGGTTAACCTAGAGCGACAGTCAAGATGCAAGCAGGGTCCTGCATACGGCATCACGTCACTCATTCTGTGAAACATCCGTTTACATTTTGTTTCATTTGTTACGCAAATCACTTGTTATGGGAGGTCTGACCAACTAGTTTAGATAATGAGCATTATAACTATTGCAATTCATCTATTTTCGAAACTAAAACAAAATCATGTATTAATTTCATTTGCAGTTTTGCATTTTATTTTCGATAAGACTTTTAATGTTACATAATTCTTGATCAATCAACATTGAAAATCAGTGTTTGAAAATTGAATGCAAGTTACAAAAATCATTATGTTTATTGCAAAGTTTATTTACAACCCATTTGAATTACAACAATTAGTAGCAGTATTAAATTTATTATTAAATGAAAATTCTAGTCAGTTTTTAAGACTTTTCCCATTTTTTAATCAGAAAGGCAATATACAAAATGAAATTATCACTGAAAAGTATACAAGTTTTACATAAATTCAGTAAACAAATTACTTCACAAAACATAAGGCAGTTATGAAAAAATTAAGCTGATTTATTTACAAGGTTCCAGTGAATAACTGTTAAGCATGAACGAAACGATGTTTTGTAAGTTCAGAACGCCGAGAATATGTTTTAAAACATAAATCACATCTGAATGGTTTTTCTCCAGTATGCCTTCGCAAATGAATATTTAAATCACTTTTTTGAATGAATCCTTTTCGACACAGTGGGCAATGGTGCGGCCGATTTCCAGTATGAGTCAACATATGGCGCTGAAGACTACCCTTCACATTAGTTGTATAGGGACATCTGTCACACTGGAATCTGCGATCGAAGAATCGTATTGGATAATTCCTTCGAAACACTGTGAAAATTGTAAAACTTGTCACTACATAATAAATAACATTTACAACTTTTAATGTCATATAAAACCAAACCTTCCCATATTTTATACAGTTTATCAGGTCTCAAATATAAAAACATGAAATTCTCAAATATAAAGATATTTCAGAGTAATATCTTATAATATGAGTAAAATAAATTAGTGATTTTAATAACTTTATTTTAATACGAAAATGCTTGTTTATGTGTATACTTTATAGATGGCCATTATTTTAATACTGTATATTTCCCTAAGATTAAAAAAAATTATTATAAAAAGCAAAGCTCTAAGGTAAATATAATTCTTTCTCATATAACGTATTCAATTACCTAATCTGTTTTCCAGTTTTAGCTTATATAATGTTTTAATACAATTTTAAAGTTTGGAAAAACAATTTTAGTGATTTAGTGAAAAGAATTATAATTTAGAATGCTTCTATAGGAAATTAAATTTATAGCAAATTTATGCAATTTAATACTGATATGGAAATTCCAGGAAGTAAAAAATGATAAAAAGTTTATTAAAAATTATTATAATCAAAATATAAACAATTTCCATCAACAAGAATTTTATATATCACATTGTCTGTTAATATCAGAAATTGAAATTTTAAAGTTCTAAAAGGAAAAATAACTTTAACTCTTAAATTTGCCAAGAATGAAAAAGTTAAATTCAGAAAGAATGCTCCTGGAAATGATTAATAATTGACATTCAATGATTCTATCTTCCCTCAAAAATAAAAAGGAATGAATACAGCAGTATTGTTTTTTGTTAAATGGATGGATGTTTGGATGAAATTTATAATTAAAAATTTTCCAAGCCAATATAAAGAAATATACATACATATTTCTATTCCCTTTTTGCTTCATTTTCCATATATCAAAAGTATGTGAGCAAATAAGTGCTTTGAGTTGTGTGAATATTTGCTTTTGCAATTAAAAATTTCAAATTAGTGTTTAATTGAGAGAATTTTTACCCTAATGATAGTTAAGTCATAGTTTTTATACATAAAGATATAGAAGATAACCACATTACACAACTTTTTTGGATGCACTGGTATAAAATTTTGCAACATAAAGACATCAATTTCAAACTCAGTTATGTTGGTATATATAAAATATGCATGAAAAAAATTCTAAAAATGAAAATGAAATTTTACCACAAATTTCATTCTTTTCATTATTGATACATAAAAGAAATCTTTACAAGTTTAACTGAAAATTTTTGAACAGTACTAATCATGAGAACAAAAGTAACCATAATACATCCATATACAATAGAGGGGGGAATTCAGCAAACTTTAACCATACTTAATAAACACTACAAACAATTTATTCTATATGAAAATATACTTCTAACATATATCTGAATACATGATTTTACTTATTCTTCTTAAATAAGTACTAAAACTATCAGCTTAATTATACTTCTAAAAATAATTTGTAAAATGACTAAAATTCGAAAATTAGGAATGCTATATATAACTTACAAAACTAAGGCCATTTATAATACATAATTCTATTTTATATAACTATGGAAGATTTTCATATACAAATGCTTGCATGCATTATATAACAATACATGAGACAAATACTTAATTCTAAATTTTAGATAAATAATCATACCAAAAATCTATCATAAAAATATGAAATAAGTTCTTTGTTATACTACTACATAAAATATTAAAAAGTGCAAAATCCGGATTAAAGACTGAACTTTTTCAAAAAACATTTCGAAAAAAAATATTCAAAACTGAATATTTTAAATTTAAACACATAATAGATTTTCAGAAAATCACATTTAAAAGCATGGACATAAATTAATGGATAATATGTTTTTATGTACTTCATCTCTCTCAGCAGATATATTATTAGCAGAAATATTATTTCATGACTTCAGGATGAAGAACAACTATATGACGTTTCAGAGAATGCTTCATGGAAAACTTCTGCCCACAGAGTCGACACTGATGAGGTCGTTCTCCAGTATGAGCTAGGAAATGTCTTTGAATACTTTGCTTCCGAGGTGTGACATATGCACACATGGAGCATGAAAACATAGTCATCTTTTGTTTACAAACATTAGTTCCTTCTCTATCTATACAGCTTTCATTCCATTCATCATTATGGTCCAGATGTCTATAGAGATCTATTGAAATTTTAATTAGTAATAGCAAACAAAATTTTGACTGATACAAATATACTTACTTTCAATATAATTATACTTTTTAAGACAATAAAAGAAGATATTTCACTTAGTTTAGAACACTAAGCAAATCACAATTAAAGTACAAAAATGTTTCAAACACATTAAAAGAAACAGAAAATGAAAAACAGTTCATACTTACTTTCCCTGTAATTATATATTTTGATAAAAGAAAATATTTATTCCTGTTTAGAATGCTATGCAAAATAAGATACAAACCACAGTTATGGTATAAAAATATTTCAGAGACGTTAAAAAAAATTCAATACATGATATTGATCAATACTGATAAATGGCACAAAAAAATTAAAAGCTGAAAGAAAATACAATATTTTTTTTTTAAGCAAGTTCATGAAAAGTCACCATAATACATACATACACATAGGAATTCCATACGATCATGAAAGTTCATGCAGAATCACCTTAACACAGCTATATAATCATGAAAGAAAGTTCAACATCAATGAATGCATGATTCAACACCCTATCCAACAAATTGTAAAATAAGATCCTCCTTGTAAACTAACGACTTTAAATGCCATAATCATGAAAGAAAGTTCAACATCAATGAATGGATGATTCAACACCCTATCCAACAAATTGTAAAATAAGATCCTCCTTGTAAACTAACATTTTTAAATGCCCTTTTTTTTTACTATTATTTTGTTTATTACTAAGTTAAGAAAACTTGAGAAAACATTTTTAATTTTAATTTTTAAAAAATTTTAAAATAAATAAAAATTTTTTTCTAAAGTAAATCACGGCACTTTCAGCAGAAGTCTTTAAAACATAATATATGAGTGATAGCAAAATTTGTCTCTATGCACATATCTTCCTAAATAATACAAAAATGTCCACAGAAACTCTCAGTTTTGAAGAAGATACTAGAGCTGCAGTTACAATCAGAAAATTCCAGATTATAGTTCAACATTTTGAAGAAAAATTTACCATTAAAAAGTTAAAAATGTACATTACATTAGCAAGAAAGTAATTTCGGTTTCTTAGTGTAAAATAAAACACAATTTTTTCTATATAAAATATTAACTTTAATCAGTCAAATGCTTTCCATTCTGTTCGATGGCCTTTTGCCATCTTTCTGGTAACTTTGCGATTCCATGCTCATAAAACTTCTGGTCTTTATCAGCAAAAATATCAGCCAAGCGCAATTTGAGGTCATCATTATTAATGAACTCTTTTACTATTTAAGAAGTTTTTTATACTTCAAAATAAATGATAATCTAATGGTGCAAGTTTGGGACTATACAGAGGATGTGACATCACTTCCCAAATCAAGCTCCAATAATTTCATACATGTTGTTAGAGATGAGGCCTCGCATTGTGGTGGTGGAACTCGATTCCTTTGTGATTTGACAATTCTGGCTTTTTCTCTTTGATTGATTCCTCATTTCATAAGTTGCTGGCCGTAAACATCTGAGTTGATCATTTGGTTGCTTGGAAATAGCTGAAAATACATAACACCTTAGTAATCTCACCAAATTGACAGCACGATCTTTTCCTAATGCAATTTAGCCTTCAATATGATTAGTGCTCATCCATTACGCTTGGACCATGTTTTTGATTAATTTTTTCAACAATCTATTTTCCATCACCAGTGATAATTCACTTCATAAAAAGGGTCGACTGCATTATGTTTGAAATGTGTATTGGAAATACTGATTCAATGTGTTAAGTAAACTTCTTTCAACTCATGCAGAACCTAAATACTTCGCTTCTTACAGAGATCAAGATATCCTATATGATTTTTAATTGTTGTGTGTGATACATTTTGCAATCTCTTCCACAGTTATATGACGAATCTAATCAATTATGGCTTTAATTTTGCCATCATTAACTTCAGAAGGTCAGCCAGAACAATGGTCACCTGAAAAAATCTCCAGGACAAAATTTAAGGCAATTCTGACTCTCATGTTCTGTTAAGCAATGAACACCACAAACTTCACTTATCACTTTTTGAGCCTCAGGAGCTTTCTTGACTTAATATGAAATGAAAATAAAATAATATAAATAATAAAATAATATAATAAAAATGAAATGAAAATATAAATAATATAATATAATGAAAATAATAAAATGATAATGAAAATAAAATAATAATAATTCTTATAATGAAAATTAAAAAAAATAAAAAATGTCAAAACTGTTTAAATTTGCAACCCATGTTAAAACTGATCGTAAACTAACAACTGTAAAAAAATATTTATTGAGATATTTAATTTCAAAAATCTGCAAATTCTGATGTCACTCTCAATTTGCTTTGAGGGATTGGTTAATAACTTAAAATTATTTGAGGATAATTTTTTATCTCCCTTAATGCGATTCAATGACATTCTTTTGTGATTTACAGGTGTCTTTAAATTATATATATATATATATATATATATATATATATATATGTAGTATGCCAAAAGAATTTTCACACAAGTAATTTATAAATTTTCAATGTTGAGAAAAGTTTTTTTCTTTCTACAGAAAATTCCAGAATACTTCTACACATATGCTACTACTATTCTTATGAAGTTTTATTACTTTAGAATTATAATTTGGTAATCATAATCAAAAAATTTATTAAAGTAAAAATATTTTTCATTTCATGAATAAATAATATTATGAGTTGACTGTGTGCCAATACTTAAAGCTGCTAGCGTTTTCTAGAATATAAATTTTATAAGATTCTGTGAATAAGAGAACTGTATTATGAAAAAAATTACATTGATCAACATTTTTCACAATAATCTGCATAGAAATGCTTGTCATTTAATTCTCTTAACATACAGAAACCTTTTTCTTAAACCGATACTTTATTTTTAGTTATGCTACAAATACATATATTTCACTCTTCAATTTGTGTAAGGCCCCTAGATATGATCTTTAGGGCGGTTACATTTTTTGGCTTTACTTTTCACAATGAGTGCAAAATTTCTCTAACTATAAATATAGGGACCAGGGGAACATACAAAAAATTCAATTCTGTTATTTTTTATGAAATTAATGTTGTAACTTTTAAAATGCCAAAACATGAATACTTACTATATCGTCTAACACAAATTTGTAAAATGAAATATATGTCTGCATCAAACAGTTGCAAAAATAAAGGCTGGGTAAGGACTTCTGTGGACATAAATATATATAAACAAAATATGACACTAAAAGTTTCTCTATTCGTCATTTTAAACAAAACTTTTCAATCTACTAATTCAGAAGTCAAACAACAATCTAGTCAATCTAGTATTTTGCTATGGACCAACCCCCTTCAAGCAGTACAGTATTTTGGTACATTCTTCATAATTACAAAGGAAATTTATTTTTATATAAGTACTTTTATAAATTATTAAACGAGAAAAATATTAAAACAAGCATCAAATCTGATTACTTATTTCACAACAGTTACTACAATGGATTTAAATTAAACAAAGCTTAAATATGACCATTAATTTAAAAGTGGCAATAGCTACAACAGGGGGATAAAAATTAGATCAAACATTAAATCTGACAATCATTTTTTAAAAATTACAGTACATTCATCTATGGAGCCTATACTTTAATCATCACAATTTTAGCATCAATAACATAGCAAAACTAACAGCCATATACCCCATCTCCCTGCTACCTATTTAAAGAGTAACAAACAGAAAAGATATGACAGTACAGTAAAAGAATTTAAACTGCATTTTGATATTTAAATATCCTAAGAATAACATAATGATATACATATACACCGATTCTGAAAATAATTACAAGTACATACACTCACTTTACATAAAATATATTTAAACACAAAAAAGATTTGTCAAAATTAAATTTATTCTATTATAACCAATTAAAAATATGCAATCTATAATAAATAATCTATTTTATCAAATAACTATACATTTATTTAAGTGTTTATGTATAATACACATAAAAACCGATTTGTAATATATACAAAGCAAAAAATAAGGCTTCAATTTGATGCAAATGTCATTCCTATTATACTCAATTAAATATGAATGATGGTTGATTTAAACATCCTGATATAGCAAACATTTCCAGTTTACAGTGTCAATGAACTGCTCATGAATGAATTACGTTAATTTTCCCCCCAATCTTTGGGAGATGTGTATTATTCGGGATTATAAAAATATTTATTACATTTTATTGTGGAATCTTAAAAAGTTGTAAAAAGTGTTACTTTATGAATTACAGAAAGTCAGTATTGCCTTTGTACTGTTTGTAAGCTAAACTGATAATAATGTTTCAGTTGCAGCAATATTTATAGTTGCTAATTCAAGATCTCATTATCTGGGGAAAAAAATTAAATAAAGCAATAACAAAATTTTATTCACATAACTATTTATCATTAATTTCTTTATATTTGTATTTTTCTTTATATTCATTTTCGATTTGCAATGCATTCTCATTCAAACATGAAAATTATCACTAAAAATAAGATACTATCTAAACAAATGCATACGATAATGTCTATTGAGATCTGAACGGCAAGAATAATTCTTATGACAGATATCGCATCCAAATGGTCTTTGGCCTGCATGTCGAAGTAAATGTATCTGCAGGTCACTTTTTTGAATGAAACCTTTAAAGCAAACATGGCACAGATGAGGTCTTTGTCCTGTATGAATCATGCTGTGTCTTTGCAGGCTGCCCTTGAAGTTAGTTGAATAATTACAGATGGTACATGCATACCTCTTCTGTTTTTTGCTATGAAACGAGGTAATATCACGTGAATTCCCAAGCGTAAAATCTGCATCTAAAAATAGTACAAGAAAATTTTACCAATAAGTTAAAAACCTATTCCATCAAACATTATGGTTTTTCTAATTTCAAGACAAACACATAAATGCAATTTATAATTCTAGAAAATTTTTAATTCTACATGATAGTATAATTTATTTGGATTTCAGAAGAGCATTATGTTACATTATCAATAACTTTTAATAACTTAAAGCTTTTAATAACTTTCACATTACTACATTGGCATAAATATAAAAGACACGAGTTAAGCTTCATATAAACATTATGAATAATCCACACCATGCTTGTATTAATAAAGTCTTTCCAAATAATTAGATTTTCTTAATGGCTACATTTGATTTAATATACTACACTAGGCATAAAAATTTTATTAATGCAATGCTACAACATGGTTCTCTGCTTAATCAATATAAATTTGCTTTCCTTCAAATAAAATATCCTTTAGGCAATACTTTTCAATAAGTCGAAATGATTGGCATTAATTTACAAAATGTATGTTTAGAATATGAGTACTATAAATCAATTAACAAGGACTTGGCTATTATTAGAGGCGAAGAAGAAATTTAAAATTTAATACTGTATCTTGGATGCATAAGCATTCCTCATGTAATAGACATCTCAGATGATGAACTGACATTCTGACACATAAAGATGATTTATAAATCAATGGATAAAATATGTTCATTTTATCAAGATGGTAAAGAAATTTTTTGAAAATCTTATGAACTACTAAAGGTACTTTATTTGTAACAATATAAGAAACTATTCTTAAAGACTTTTTTAATTACATTAAATAATAAGCTTTACCACAAACAAGTTCTAATGCAGAATTTGCTGATTCACTATATAACTTGATGTTAAAAAAAATCTATAAAATTTTTATAAGACATAATTACTCCACTACAATTCCATTCTTTCAAAATTAAAATTCATCTGTTTGAAGCAATTTTTGTAAATGCCTGTTTTCCTTAATAAATTAATAATTACATGACTTTTATACAAGTCATTTGTATGATAATGTACCTTACTGAGGTTTCACTACATACACAAAATAAATTTTTAAGATGGCAAATCATACATTTAGCAAAAGCAAATATTCACAATATTCATGCTGAAAATACGCTCCTCTTGTAAACGTTACAAATTTCATATTTCTTAGTTACATTTGGATAAAATGATACCTAAAATCTTTTTACTTTTAGAAGACTCTTCATAATGATGTAAAAGATTGAAATAGAAGTACTCCATAAATGAAATTCACGAACATTTTTAACATTCTAACATATGAAATAAAACCTATTTCCAATCAGTACTTGCACTTATTAAAAATGAATAATAAAACCAAATGATACAAAAATCTGCTTCTGCTTTCATGCCTCTTCATAAGTAAAATGCAAAATAAACTTAACTGAGTTTGAACTTTGAAAATAAAAATTTGATCTGTGTTAAAAACGTAAAAGCAGTAATACAATGAAACTGGAAATAGCCAAAAGATAGAGTATTGTCAAAAATGTTACATGCTGCTGAATAAAATCCTTAATTTAACTGTATAACAGGATGTGTATAATGCAGATTGAAAATATAGATACATTTTTGGTATCTTCTCAATCAAAATCAGTTACCAAATATAAGCTACAACTGACAATTAAAGACTTCTACAAACAGAGTTGAAAGCAACTAGATTAAAAATTGGTTTCCAATATAATTTTAGATTACATAAAGTTAAGGAAACTGAAAACATAACTAATGAAAAATATATAACAAAAATATGAATCATATAATTACTATTCTCAGAGATTTACATGTAAGACTAAAACATAAGAGAAAATAGAGTAACACTATGCATAATTCAAACAAACCTTTCACCTACTTCCTAAAATTTTAAACAACTAAATGAATTGATACAAATCAAACATAGAAAAATAAAAATGATCTACTCACGCTTGCATAATTAACTAGAAATTTAAATTTACTTCCAAATGATCAAAATAAATAAAGCTGTAATAGAAAGTGCACAAAAGTCTATAAAATATTTATTTAATCACATAAACTAAATAATACATCTATATTTATTTAGCTTCCTATATGTATAGAGACACAGAATGTAGGGAAAAAAAAAAACCATAAATATTTTAGCGCAAAGATAAAAAGATTTGTACATAAATCTTAAAATAAGCATAACTGTATATATATGTAAAACTTTTATTTACCATACCTTTTCTAACAGTTTATGATTATCGCTAACATTATGATATAAAGAAATTATAAATATAAAGAAACAGGTAATTAAATTTGTTTTAAATTTACAATACAAAGATAATAAAATGTGGTATATTTCACCTGATAACACACACATATGAACATCAGTGTTGCCACTTTTTAAAATTTTTGACCCAGACATTATAAAATTAAGACGTTCAGGAAATAAATAAATTAATAATAAATAATACCTTTTTTCATTGTTGTTTTATTTATAGTGAGAAGAAAATAATATTGTTAATATATTTATTACTTATAATTATTATTATGCATTATATTTTTATTATTTTATTTATTCATTTTCTTTTGAAAATATAGAATTAATTAATTTTAAAATAAATACACTGCTTTTGGCTTTTGATTTATAAAAAAACTTCAACTAGAAAAATTACAACTGTCTCAGTTAAACAGACTAAAACAGCAACAAGACAAAAAGTATGAATTTTACCTCTTTAATTGTTTGTTTTCTTTAATATATATATTTATTGTATATAAAATAATATATATACATATTCCTAACTTTTAAAAAAGTCATTAAATTTAGTCATAAAAACGTTACGGTAGTGCAGTCTGATTGCTCTATAAAGAAATCAACTACAGGTAATTTAAAGGATTTTGAAGTGACCTGAACAAATTAAAATGCAAGGGAACAAGGTCTAGCGAATATATGAGGGAGGGTGACACAAAACATCCCAGTCATATTCAATAAGTCTTTGTCACACATTCATTGAAATGTGAGTCCAAGCATTGTTATGATTGGAAGACACCTCAACAAGTGGGCAGTTCTGACCATTTTGCTTAAATTTCTGCTTTTAAAAAATGCCATTTGGGAAAAATAATTCACAGAATTTATAGTCTAATTTGGTGACAACAATTCGTAGTATAAAATTGGTTTGTAGTCTGAACCATACAAAATGTCCCTCTCAATGTTACTAAAGGAGGTTCTTTTGGCTTATCCCATGACCTTTTCTTTGTACAGAACAAAGTCCGTAATTCGGACTCGTCGGGACCTCAGCCATTCTAGATTAGGGCTTTTTCCGGATTATAGATCATCAATTTAAATCTGGTAAGATGGCATGCAGAAATTCTACAATTAAAAATATGAAACTGTAATTTATGAAATAAAGAGTATTAAAATTTACCACAAAAAAGTGTAATATTTATTTGTTTACTTTATTAAACATTTCTTTCAATATAACTTTCTTCACTATCGGAAGCGCGCGTGGGTAAATGCTTTACTGGCTTTACGCGCATCAAACGCGCATGCGTAAGTTTGTGGCTTTGAGGTCCGGATTATAGATTATTCCGGATAATGGACGTCCGGATTACGGACTTTGTACTGTACTATTATTACATAGTATTTATTTCTCATCTCCAGTAAAGACCTATTTCAAAAAATAACTCCCCCGCAGCAAATAATCACATGACGAAACTTGAGCAAGACTATTCTGTTCTTTTAAAATATGAGGTACACATACACTGAACCAATTTACTCATCAAATCTTTTTCAAATGGGCATGTTATATATTGTTTACAAATATTTAATCTGTTTGATAACTCCTGAACTGCATGGTGGTCCAGAGCAGGCACCATCTTCAAGGCTGAAATTTCCATACTTAAACTTTCTTGAATTTGAACTTACTCAAACCACCTTTGAACTGTGTCATCAGAAACAGCACTTTGTCATTTGTAGTACAAATTTTATAAGCAGTCTGCCTAACTTTTGTTTTCCTTTTTTTAAAATAAAAGAGCATATGACAAAAATTAACTTCTAGGTTCTGCATTCTTAGCACAAGAGTGAAAAAAATAATGCTACAATACATGCTAGAATTACCTAATGTAAACACACAGAAAAGATTGTATTTAAACATTTGCTTCAATAAAGGTCCCTATTTCTAAGCAGTAACAAAATAATTAAAATAAAACATACTTCAACTTGAAAAACTGTACAGCTTTTCGAACAACCCAATATTTGCAGGTTACAAATTCAAAATTATATTTTTTTCTCACTTTAGATGTTGGGATCAGAGTATGGGTGGGGGTGAAGTTATATTTATTATCTATTAAAATAAAATACTTACAGATATTTTATCAAATTTATCTGAATTCATCATAATTTCAGAATTTCTATGAAAACTGAAAAATTTTTAATTAATCTGAGCCATGAATCTAAAAACTAGTTTGCCCAGTTGAAAACTGGCCTGGTGGCAACTATGACACACAGAAATATATGTCATTACTTCACAGAGCTGTGAATCTAAAAACTAGTTTGTCCAGTTGAAAACTGGCCTGGTGGCAACTATGACACACAGAAATATATGTCATTACTTCATTAAACCTGGAAAAGTACAAGATTTTTTAAAGATAGAAATTTTGATTTATTGAACTAAGAATGATTCACATAGCTATATAATATTTCAGAATATCTTCCAAATTAAATATACATAATTATTCAGAATGCAGCAAAATAAAAAATTTAATTCTGTCACACGCTTCTGAATAAACACTAGAATTATAAATGTAGTTTAGGTAAAATAAATTGTCAAAATATTTTTTACATTTTCTCACATTAAAATAAAAAAATAATAATATTAGAAAATTACATTAATCATTTGATATACTGAAAGATATTTCTGTTGAAATAATTAATAATGTTTAACAAATGTATTTTTAACCTAGAATTAAAATGAGAATAAAATGCTACTTTTTACTCACTGCTTATATTAAATATTAATAAAACTTAAACATGTGATACACAATCAGATCTTTCAAGCTTCTTCTTTTGTTTATGACAATTAATGTTGGTATTATTGCTTTCAAATTATAAAATAAAAAATTTCTTTTTTTATACATCCAAACTTTTACTAACATATCTCCTTATTCACTGAATAATTTAATATACATTAAATGAAATAATAAAATGCAGATTTCAAGTATCTAAGGAGCACCCTCATTTGAATAATATGAAATGTAAGCTTATCATGTGAACAGTGAAATTAAAGAACAACAATGATAATTCAACATAAACAGTTTAAAACTTAACATGTACTTTCTGGTTAACTTTAAAGTTTTAGATTTCTGTAAGAAATACACAATAAGCCCAGCATTCTTTTCTTTTACTGACAATTTAATTTAATGATAAAAAGCAGTACTTACATATTAATGCAAAAACTGCCACTTATCAGAATTTGCCAAAGGCTGAAAAGAACACACATAATAATTCTTCAATTTTAGCCAGCAATGTCATCATTTTCTTATTTGTTCTTTTCGTGGCATTTGAAGTTCCAATGGTTTTTTAGAGACGAATATGATATTTTTGCTCAAAGTTAATTTTAAAATTTACTCACAGAAATTGTCTGCAATGTAAGAAATAGTTGCAAATTTTTTGCAGGAATACAGTATTTTGCAGCAAAATCACAAAATCGGAAAAGCATTTTTCTGAACAAATCACCGAACTGTGTTAAGTAGTTAAATTAATACACAAGTACCCAAAAAGCATATTTACTGAACATCAATAACAATGCTCACTTTTCATTAGATAACCCTCTAAATTAGCTCTAAAAATTTATTTATATTTACTCTGCAATTATTTCTTCACACACTTATTAAAAAATATGCTATATTTACACACGCACACACACAAAAAAAAGTAAAATTTATCTTATTACTTTCCTAAAATTTATTTTAAATTACTTGAAATCTTAGCAAATAAATGCAATACAGGAAAGGGGGATTAATTACTAAGTGTTAAGTCAAATTTTAAACAAGGCATATATTTAGTTAACTTATGAATACAAGACATCTAATTCCAGTTCACAGAAACACTTACAGCTTTTTTCATTCAGACATTATTTAATTTTTTTTTTTAACTTAAATATCAAACAGAAAGCATCCACACAGTGGAAAATAAAATCAGCATTAAATAATTCATAAACCAACATGTAGCTCCAAATGCAAACAACATTTCAAATTATATTTTACATTACTAGTATTTTAATTAATGAAATTTAAAATAAATAAATGATGCTGACATTCTCTTAAAATCTTAATAAATCTTAATTACTGCTTAAAATCTAAATTAAGACATCACCATCAAAACATTTCATTAAAACAGACCTTACTTTCAATAAACACAAGTCAATATAAAAGTATGCATTCATATCAGTGCATTCTGAGGTGAACTTGAATGTGGAATAATCAGTCATAAAATAAGGTGCAAATATGAAGTGCAACATAGAATATTTCAATTAAAACTAATGAAAAACTAAGTAAACTTTGATACTGATTCTTAAAAACTTGTATTTCAACTCACAATATGAATTAAAGATAAACTGTTTTACCAAACTAAAAGAAACATGTAACTTAGAACACAAAATTAAATAATACTCAATTACACCAAAACAATCAAGAGCTAATTCGGCATAAGGAAAAAAAAAAAAAAAAAAAAAAAAGATCCTGTCTTTAGAGACACTGATTTCCATTAATCTTATAGAAAGTAAAAACTTATAATGCAGTTCAATGCACCTTATGGGAATTAAATCCAAAATAATAACATCACTGAAAAGTTTTTACAAACCCAAACAATGGTGAGCATTAATAAGAATAAATTTCATAGTTAGATTAGATATTCCAACAAAACTAAAATTAATTTTCTTTTCATTATTTTTTTACAAATTCTATAACTGTGCTTTTAATATGTTTAATTTAAAAATTAATACATTCCTTCCCTTCCCCTTATTTATTATAGAATAAACAGCATTAAATACTTCTTCATTGGATTGAAAACTCATGGTGGGTTCTGGCCTTCTCCAGACATCTCTGCTTTTGACAACTGTTTTCCAGTTTTTGACTTAAAGAATGTTTAGGTCATTTTCAACACAATCGATCCATCTCACTGGGGGTCTACCCCAAGGTCTGGTTCCCTTGATCGATCTATCTCACTGGGGGGTCTACCCCAAAATCTGGTTTCCTTAGGCTTTGTCAGAGAGACTTTCCTACAACACCGATCTTCATGCAATCCTCATAAGTCAAGACAGATCTTATATAAGACTCTTGTAAAGAAGTAATTAGTTCTTAGCTTGAGAAAGCTGGATTTTGAATAGCTCTTCAAGCCATGAAAGCATCTATTTGTAGCACAGACCCTTTTAAGTATTTCAGACATTATCTCATTTTTACAATCCATCTCCACTCCCAGATAAGTGAAATGTATACTGTAATCATCAGTACTATAGTACTACTGTACATCAGTAGCTATAGATTTACAAATCTATAGACTGATTTCTAAATGACTAAGTGGTAAGTCAGATTTTAAACAAGGCATATATTTAGTTTTATTTTCATTAACAGATAGGTTAAATCTTTCTGCACTTTTTTTGCAATGCCAGGAATGCCTGTTTATGAGCAGGAACAGTAAGGCAACAATGCAAATGCATTATATACTAAATCAAGTAAATAACTTTGCCAGATATCCGATTATATTATACATTATTTTCTTAAAGTAATACTACTACATCTTCCCCATTAATTTAACATGAGAACTACTGATCCAATATCATATTTAAAAAAAACAGGTGGATTTTTTTTTTAGCTTGTCTAAAATAAGTGTGCATTTCATCATTAGTATTTTAGTAGGGGAGCTAAGGGTTAACTGTAACAATCTTTTGAGAAGTTTTTACATTTTTAAATCTTAAATACATATCTAGAAGTCCTTTATTATAGTTGCTGTTTTTTATAGCCTAACTATACCTTTACCATATTCCCAAAACAAACATTTGGCAATTTTATTTAGCATAAAACATATTTTACTAAAGCTATTTGTCTATTACAATTTGCCTAGGATTTAGGGCAAATTAAAATAGACATGGGGAAAAATTATAAAAACAAAGTGCCCATATTTAAAAAAAAATGTGATTATTTATTATTACTCAATATAATGATACTGAATGATATTAAGTAGTTTACAGCAAAGCAAAGCTAAAATTATTTAGTCAATCACCATAAAAGTCAGACTTCACAACACTTCAGTTAACACATATAAATGATAGATTATTCCCTCTCACACATTTAATGTGTGTCCACATTTTGCAAACTATACATTGCACCCATTCTACTTCATCATAGTTACAGTAAGCATCTTCACAAATTAAGTAAAATCACTTTTCAGCTTCATAATCTGTATTCGAGTTCAAAATCCTTTTCTTCACACATTTTATTTCTTCATTTTCATTTTTTTTTTTTTTTCAGACCTTTCCCTTTCCTTTCTCTTCTTTTCATTTCTCATTAAGTAACTTTTCATATTGTTTACCAATGCTTCTTTTTCAGGTGTGTCAGTTAGGATGGCAGATTTTCTTTTTCAGCAACCTCTGTTTGACTGCTTCTAAGCAAAAGCCTTAGGAGAGGTTTAATCTTTGAGGGTGAAAAATTTGTTTTTATGTTCTGGGAAAGAAAACTAAATAGAAAAAAGTAATAAGCATGTGAAAATTTAAATACAAAAGTTTAACTATATGAATTAAAATCTTGGGTCAAATTGTACAATGTCATAACTTGCACGAGATTTTGTTACAACTTGCCCCATGACATGGTTTTGGACACTTTTGTTGATTTATACAAAAATCCTGCAATTAGTAAAAATATTAAAGGAGCATTTTAAAACTTAATACATAGGCAAAATAAACATACAAAACCATTTAAAAAATAAATTATTTTAAATCAAAATTTACAAATATATTTCCCACACCCCATTAACTAGCTAAGATGAAGCATGTGCATGCTACTAGTTTTGGTAAGGCATTGACTGTGCTTACATAGTATAGCCCGTCATAAAAACCACATTTAGTGAAAATTCTGATAAAAAATTTTTAAAATCCATTGCATAACATGGATGTTACTACTTACCCTGTTACAACTAGCCCCTACCTTCCGTATTAAAAAAGAATAAGTACTGAATGATAATGTATAAAATTTTCAGAAACATACAAAATTCTAGAAATTAAATCATTATCACAAATTGTTTAATTAATAGTCAGTTTTCCAAAAATGTAATTATTATTTTAAAACTTGGATTACTGAACAATACTTTGAAATTTTTTAAAATAATGTTTGTTTAAGTAATTCATTTTTCTCTTGAAAATATACATACATAATAAATTCTTTTATTTTAAGAAAAAATTCCAAGAAATTCTGAAAAAAATGTTTACATTTACTTATATTAATTTTCAGAATATTTCTAAATTACATACCACATTTTAATAACTAATATCTTACATAACAAAATTCATAAACAAATTTCTAATAAACTTCACAACAATTTATCGTCTTGCACAGAGTGTGAGGTATGGAAGGCATTAGAATGAACCATAATCAGATGTCGTTTAACTGACTGTTTCATAGAGAATCTTTGGCCACACATGCTGCACTGAAAAGGTCTTGCACCAGTATGTGTGAGATTATGCCTTTTAATGTTCTGTTTTCTAGTTGTACTGTAGGAACACAATGGGCACTTATAAAAGCATTGCTTGGATACACTGGAATCATGGAAATAGTGTTCCTGAATATTATGGGTTTCATTCCAGATTTCTTCAGTATTCAGGACTGTTTCAGATTCAAGATTGCTTACATCCCCAATTTGGCCAGAGCATGAGAAACTGCAACTGTCTATTAAAAAAAAAAACATCAAAACTTTTTAAGAATCGCATCACATTTTGAAAATTATTATTTGAAATTTATGCATTAAATTTTGTCTCAGTAAATACTATTTTGAAAGGTAATCACCAAAATTAAATCATATGTTCACCTTTATAAAACATATTTCACATTAAGAAGCATTAAAATTTTAATATATTGTAAGGTAGTTATTCTACAGCAGCCTGTTATTCTGTAATAATTCAAATCACATTTTTTCCAAAAAGATGTTTTTATTTCAGGAAAATAATTCTTTAAATAATGAAAAGGCTAAAAATAAAAAATTGGATTAATTTTAATTTAAAGATAAAAGTTACACCTTGTTCTGTATTTTTTCAATTCTAAGATGCACCCCTTAATTTTACTACCACCAAAAGAGAAAAATATTAATTCTACGAAAATTTAGTTACCAATGTCAAATACTAATTGTAAAACTTTTAGGAACTTATTTTGATTTATTAATAACAATAATATTCCTATCTAAATTAGTTATTTGGGGAAAAGGATTATTTTTAAATAATTAAAAATTTGGAAAAATCTGCAATTCTAAGAAGGCAATAATTCTCAGGTGCACTAGTTTTATCAAACATTTTTAGAAGAAAAGAGTTGTATCTTAGGTTTGTAATCACTAAAATGTTTTGAAACTAAATCATCCAAATATTATGATTATGGTGCTAGAGAAATATTTTCAAGAACAGTCTTTCTGTTACAAGGGACAATACATCTGTAGAGTTTTAATACTTCACTGTCTAACATCAGAATGCATGTTTTAATATAAGAAGAAAATTAACAAAAAAATTAATTCATGAAGATATTAAAAATTATCATCAGAAATTAGTTACCAGCAGCACCAGAAAATAAGCATAGATATTCCTTACATATTACCCTTAATATTCACTGTTGGTTAATTCTGCATAAGAACAACATATAAATTATGGTCATTGACTTATGCTTACTTTGTTATACCTCTGCATTTTATGACCAACTTTGACACAGTTTATAACCAAGCACAAATACATATATACATGCAATTTACCTGATTTGATGCTTACTTTTGGAATAACGAATTAATATGTTTCTTTCACAGTGATGCAGAATGTTTCGAATATTTCAAATCCGTACTGCTTAGAATTTTTATTATCAGTCAGAAATGTACATAAATATTCTTGTAATACAGTAGTGAAACACAGCATTAAAAATGGGGAAAAAATTATCACATATCCAGTTTATTGCAGAACTTTAATATAATTAATTGTTATTTCATTTACAGTTTAACTTTGGATCACTAATGCCTCACTTCATGAACAAATTACCTGAACAAAAAAGCCTCAGTAATAATGTCATATAATTAAAATTCAGGAGTTTCAGAAAACATGATTTTAATATTTTCTATTGCTTAACTCTCATTAATGAAGCCTAACAGCAAGTGACTTACAAGACCAAAGACTGGGCTTATAAGCATAGAATCTGAGCACTTAAACATTTAATCTTTTGTTTGTTTGTAAAAACTATACATTAGGAAATTAAGAATGAAGACATACAAAAGTTACTAAGATGACAGTAAACTCAGCTCAAGGAAGAAGCACAACAAGTTCTGAAGCAGCTATAACAGGCAATTGTGGCAGAAATGACTTAAGAAGAGGAGGGTGAAATCTAGCTCTACAAGCTTCAGAATTTGTGCAAAATGGAGTACCATGCAAAGTTTTCATGTAATGATATCACCCAGAGAAAGCAGCATCAAGTTACAGCATAAGCATTTTCAATGACAGTGTCATGTCTCATTAAAAAACATATTATAAACTTAAGCAATAATATAAATCATGTACTGGCACTTAGAGACAAAGAAAAAATAGAAGATGGTGTCTCCTAAATAAAGTTACCTGATATTTCTATAGAAGAGAATTTTGCATCCAAACAATAATATCTTTCTCTCCATTTTCAACTTATGCGATCCAATCTCCTTTATACAAGCACAATAAAATTAAATGAAGTTTTTGTTATATTTTATCGATTTCATATTGTGCTTATCTTTTTTGTTTCATATTTATTGATTTTCATCGCCTTTGGGTTATATAGGCATTCTATACTTTACCTTTAGAAACAGAGATTGAGATATTTTAAAGAAGCACATTTTTCAATATGTACAATAAATTAAATATAGAAAAGACAATAAGCATATAATTAATTTTTCCTATTTTGAGATGGGAATCACGTATGCTGGGAAAATGCAGTGATAATCTACCATAACTACATTTTGCCTGAAATAAATAAAGAAATAATATGCTTTTGGGGCATTAACATAAAATAAATAAATTTTATATTTTATAACTAAATCATAAATTGCAAGACTATAAATAACTAGTAAATAATTATTTTAAGGTCATTTATACTACTTAACAAAGAAATGCTTAAAAACATTTATATGATAACAAATTAGTTACTAAATTTTTATGAATTTTCTCAACCAGAAATTATACAATTCATAGTTAAAAAATTAGAAATTAAAGTAAGTATGGGGCAGATAAGTTTTATAATCAAATTTTATTATTTAGATGGTATATTAAATATTCTCTATTAAAAACAATAAATCTATCATATTTTCATAAATATTTATTTTTTCAAAAATATTTTTGATCAAATATGATATCAGTCTAAATTATAACAAATTATACATTGTGTTGTTGTGATTTATGGGAACCAGGAAACATACACTGAAGAAAAAACATTTTACATACAAATGCGAAAAGTACCAAAATAAACAAAACAGTAGTGCAATAATTTACATACAAAGTTTACTAAGCAATATTGATTACAAGGAGTGTTTCCAAAGCTCTAAGAATTTAGGTATGTAATAGATGGTGCGAGTCCTTCATCAAACAGAGCTCCTGTTCTAGGTCACATAATGCTTTATTCACCCAAATATAAACATTCCTTTTCTTTTTATAGGTCATGTGACTAAATGAAATTTTGTTAGGACTTGAACTCTTCAAGTGAGCCCATGTAGCTTAAATATCTCTCATTTTCTTGTATGCATTACTTCAGTGATAAATTGGTGTTTATCATACTTCATTGTCTTAATTATTAGCTCTGAGATGTTTTAGTTATACTGAGGAAATATGCTACATAAACTAACACCCAACATGGGGCCAAAAATTCCCATATGGATTGTCAAAACCAAAAGTGATGATGACAGACAGCCCATAGATGCACAGTAAACTTTAAGTTTGATAATTCCCAGTTTAATAAATTTGGAAATACAGGAAAAGCTAAGATTTCTAGTAGCCTTCACCTATTTGCATTTTTGCTGATCGTCAGAATCAAGCAAATACAAGAATTTTGGTCACATTGACCTAATTTCATTTTCACTTATCCAAATCAGTTAAACGTTCTGTTGAAGTTTAATTCTTTTATATGAAGTGTGATTACCCTGATCATATTGCATGAGATCTGTTGCTTTAGTACCGAAAGATAAACTTTGAAATATTGCTAAAATTTAAATGAGGAATTTTGTGGTAGCACCACTACTTTGGCAATTTAAAAAATAATATTTGAATGAATATTTCACATAAAGTTCAAGTATTTTGTTCTATGGAAGTTTTGATATGAAGTAGTGAAATTAAATGTCAAATATAATAAAAACATAATAAAAGAACTCTTGATTTGAAAATAGAACACAAAAAATATAAAAAATATATTCTCAAGTTACTATATTTTATACTAATGCAAATTACTGAATGTATTCTATAACAGTTTATGGTCAGAGAGCAGTATTTTATATGTTATTTCAGAAAATCAAAAGAAAGTGATGCAAAATGAGATATTATTTTGTTTATGTTTTGCTTTTGATTATTTATGTTTGATGTGTACTTAATCCACATCAAAATATTTAAACCCTTATGTATGTTGGCATACTAAATGTTTTAGGTATACATTTTGAGAAAATTTACAACTTTCATTTAAACATAGGTTATTTAGCAAAAAAAAAAAAAAAAAAAAAAAAAGATTTAATTGAATTAGTGGAGACACTAGGAGTAGTGACAGAGGGAAATTTTAGAATTCCTGAGATAAGTAATGCTATAATCACTAGTTCCACGTACAATGTAGAGTTTATGAAGGAATGTTTGAACTGCATCATAAATGATAGGAAACAAATGGAAATAGAACTGAGTGAGAGTGAGAGAAATAAAATGATAGTGTGCTGAGTGAGAGAAATAAAATGAACAGTTGTTTGAATTGGAGAAATTAAAATTTGAAGCTAGAATTATTGCTAATAGAGTGAAGTCTGCAATGGTATGCAGAAAAGAATAAGTTAGGACTGAACAAATGAATTCCTAATTTTGATCCGAAAACAGTCAATATAAGTTTATTTCTGGACTTGTCTGAGAGGCAATTAACTCTTCTGAAGGTACCAATTTCAAAATGGGTAGTCTATCTTGTTAGTCTTTTGCCAACCAATGTTGCAAAACTAATTGTATAAGAATTTTTTGATGATGTTCAGGATTACCAGAAAATTAAATGAATTCTCTTAACTTAAGTGCTTCACACTGAGTGGTGAGAAATTTCGACAATTGTTTAGAAAAATCCAGAAAACACCAGGAGAGACTTTTATTTATGACTTAAAAAACTATTTTGATGAGTGGCTTAAAGAATCAAGAGTTACGATGCTTGAGCAATTAAAGAATTTGATACTGGCAGATTAGATTAAGGGAGAAAAAAGACCTCTGGATTGTAAAGAATATTTTTTCGATAACTGAAGTGAGTGGAACAACTCACTTTAGACTGCTGACAAATTAGATCCGTATGAAGAACTTAGACATGTACAAAATAAAACTGTTAGTACGGAAATCCCTAATTTTCAACATTAAGATAATCCAAAAAATTTTAGAGGTATTCCACAACATACTAAAAACGCTTATCAAGAGATAATGCCAAAAATGGAGATCAAGTACCTGTTAGTTGCTATGTTTGTGGGAAGTCAAGCTTTATTCAGGCTACATGCCCTACTTTCTCCCCTCCTCTCAAGCAGAAGCTGATTTCAGTGTTATACACCTTCAAACATTCTCTATTGAGGACCCCCAGATGACTCCTTTGAAAGTAAAAATAAATGGATTAACCGAAATTGTACATTCCGAGAGTGGAGTCAGCCACACTATAGCAGGAGAAAAATTCTATCGCTTTTGAGAGAAACAGAATTTGGAAAAACCAGTATAAATGTTACGCTTGCCAATGGTCTCCAGAAGAAAACAGAAGTTTGGATGATCGTACAAAATAACTTTATAGCTGTTATCTACAGCTAAAGACAACAGAACGTGTTTAGGAACTGAATTTTTATGTAGTGCTGGAATTGTTTTAGACTGTCCAAATAATAGATTGTATTTCCACGACAAACCTAAACAGAAATTTAGTTTTAGTAATGACATTTGCAAACCATCTGAGTGTTCAGAATATAAGGCGAAATTTAATATGTTTCTGTCAACAGAAAAGGAAGAAAAATATCTGCTCAGTTCAGATATCTTTCAACAAAAGGAGAAACCGACTCCCAAAGTTGAACATTATATTAACATGAGTAGCAAGCCCCCTGTCGTAATTCCAAAGCATCTTATATCTCCACCAAAGAAAGAAGTGGTAAGATCATGAATTCCAACGAATGCTATAACTGAGGAAGAATTAGTCACATTATCCAAGATTGCAAAAAGAACATAAAAATGAGTTACATATGTGAAAAACATTTGCATATATTCAGAGATTGGGAACAAGATGATCGTAAATGTTATGGCTGTCTTAAAATAAGCCATACTTCTCGTGGCTGCCCCAAAGCTAGCTTTCCTGCAGATATGTTGTCCTCGCTGCTTATTCAACATAAAGAAGAGTGTGCAAGATTTGCACTGTTACTATCGATATATCTGCACCAAGCACAAGAGAAATTCACAACAGAAATTATAAGATGATAATATTACAAAAATTTTGATTTCTGGAAAGTACTGATAGAGATCAGAATTTTGCTGATTGGAGTGGTCAAGGTTATCTCATGAACTAAGCTTTTTTATACTGATATTCAGCCAAGGCAGATAGAGGGGAAGCCCAATTAGTAGTTCTGTTTCATGAATGAGAAAGAGTACTAAATGGGCAAAATGGGCATCAGCTGAACATTACAAAATCACAGGAACATATGACAAAATTGAAAGGCAGTACTAATGGATTAGTATGTGAAGACATATTACTGATTATATCAAGAACTGCTATGATTTAATCGTTAGAAATGCAGAAACCAGAAGCCATTTAGACTGTTGCAAACATCAATTTATAATCAATCACATGAATCTTCTTCAATAGATGTATTTGGACCTCTACCAAAGAGAAATGAAAAGAGAATGGTCTTAATTGTAGAAAAATGTGCCGTCAAGTGCATGAAACAATTTTATTAATCTCTGCTTTGATGATCCTTTTTCTTCCATAGGTGACTCTTATGTATCTGCCCTTAGGCCATACGAAGGGCAAGACTCAATCCTTTACTCCTGATTTGAGGAAGAGGTCATCCAAGCCCCTGAATCTGATGAACAAGCTGCCCTTACCAGAAAGCAGCCACCAAGTGCAATCCGTAAATTGGGGACAACTTAGCTTGAGAAGAAGACTGTACCAGATGGTGCGAGTCATTCTTCAAATAGAGCACCTACTCTTTGTCAGACACGTTTCTACACGTGATGCATGATTCACGCAATATAAAAATTCATTTCCTTTTTACAGGTCATGTGATTTGTGGTGATGGCGATAAGGAGCGCGCCTTGTGCCCTCCGATAAGTGTGGCAACCCTAGAGGAGAAGCTTCTTACGAGTAGCGAGCAGAGCGAAACAGGCAGGCTGAAACACTCTTCACATGAGCAATGTAGCTTAAAAAACCTTCACTTTTATTACTGTGTGTATGTGTGTTACTTCATTAATAAATTGGTGTTTGTTATGCTTCATTTTTTTAATTATTAGCTCTAAGATGTTTTAGCTATACTGAGAAAACACAATTTTTTTTATTTTGCCAATTTTCATTAATATTACAATATAGTTTTTATACATAATCTCTATTTAAGTGAATGCATTTATCCCATAGAAAAACCAATTTTTTTTAGCTGTCCTCAAAGAACTTTTTTGGAGCCTCTTGAATACACCCTGTAAAAGTTTTTCAAAATGTGTGAACAGAATATTGCTATGATTGCAAAAACAGTGCTACAATAATGTGCCTGTATCAGTCAAACAACTCTAATTAACAGGCAAAGGGACAGCTGCATAAACATGCCAAGACTTTTCTGTGACTAATAACATTGCCTATATTGAACTAGAGCTCAGTTCCTGGAACTTTGAACAGACCTCATGTAAACATTAACAAAACAAATAAAAATATCACTTTTTTCTTCTTTAAAAAATATATTTGCTGCATAGGAATGTAGAAAATTCATTAAAAATGCTTACAATTTGTCAATAGTTACAGATAAATGTTAAAAATACAACTCTAGAGTAAATTCATCAAAATGGAAATATGTTAAGTCTTATTTCAATAAGTAATAGGTTTCATGATACAACAGGCAATCAAATTTTTTACATAAATAAATGTTTTCAAATGCATGTTGTAAAAAGAAATAGTAGAAAACTAACAGTAACATAAAAAAGGTTTCTTACATATTATCTATTTTACACCAAAAAGTAAAATTAGTTTAAAATGACTAAACAAGGCATATGATTAATAAAAAAATTCCTTGCACCTTTGTTTTATGTATTTATTTAGGGAGACATATTAGAACTACCATATTTCACTGATGAATTATTTTCTGATGATTTAGATGTTTTAGAAAAATGTTTTAAATCTTGAAAAACAGCTTTCAAAATTTATATGTTATATAAGATATGCCAATACTTAAAAACATTGAGAATTAAACACAAAATTTAATATTAGTACTGTGAAAAAAAACTGCATTCACAACAATTACTTTTATAATTAAAATGAATTAAATACTCAAAATTTTAAATCTAGCTAGATTTAATCATCTCAACATATGCCTCATTACAGCTGTTTTTAAAGAATATTAATAAATTATACGAAACTATTCCAATAAAACAAATTAAAAAATAAATTAGAACTTGTTTCATGCATACATCATTTCATTTTGAATTAGTACAGAATTTTTAAAGACGTTTTCCCAAAATGGAAATCAATGGAGTCAGTGAAGAAATGCATTTTAGAGGCAATCTTACCTACCATTAATTGAAAGCTGAAATCTTTTTACATAATTGTGTTATTACCGAAAGCCTTTGCAACAGAACAAGATTTATTAACTTAATATTTATCTAAGGCAGCCTACACATAAAAAATTAACAAACTAATAAATTTACTCTTATATATTACTCTAATCTCAAAATAGAATTTAATGCTAGCACATTATTTTTTCCCAAGTCATGATTATTGTATTAACATGGTGCACACTGATATGTGTTTTCATGGACAGTAATATTTTTTTGCATATTCCTTAAAAACATTTTTAATACTATTATAAATGCTCAGAGATTCTTTTAAGTAATGATAATGGCTGACTTTTGGACCTTGAAATCAGGTAAAAATGATGATGCTTTACTCCAAGATGAATCATTAGCAGAGATAAAAAGCTACATAAAAATGTAGCTTTTAATTTAGCTTCCAAAAGAAAAGTGTTTAAACTTCCAAAAGAAAACATTTTCATATATAATAACTTGCAAACTGAATATTTAAAAAATATGAAAGAAGAATCCATATGTTTAATTTGTTCCCATGTTAATATCATTAAACATCATAAAACAATTTCATTTATAATATGAAAAATGCCCTGTTTTAAAGGGTTGTTTTAAATTTCTTACACATATTTATGTATCATATATTTCCTCACACACAAGCTCAATTTACTATTACATATGATTTGACATAAAAATATGCAGTTATTTTTTTTAAGTCACATCAAAATAAATTATAAAGACCATTTTTGCACTATTTCTAAATATGTTAAATATTTTTTACTTATCAAGAATGCTCTCATTCTTGATAGGCTTTAGCCTAATTAGAAATTCAAAGTTAAAGAAAACAATTGCATTATTACCATAAAAACCATTTATTTTAGTTTATTTCAAACTAATTTTTCCTCATTTAAAATAAATTTCTACAACGTTTATTGAAATTATTTTATATATTTAGTTATTATTATTATTTTCATTCCAGGAATAGAAACAGAGAGAAAATGGGGAAATATTTTGGAATTTAAAATAACAAATAGCATAAGGATTCCATAAAGAAAATCTGAGGCATATTTCAGGAATTAAAAATGTGATTTTACTGATTTTCACTGTCAGGAAAATTAAATTTTCATTAAGCTAAAATGAATATTAATGTAATTTATTAATAACTGCTTATATTCAACTTTGGTATAAAATGAAATAATATAAGCTCCATACTCACATTAAAAAACACAATTAAGTAGCTATATTCAGGTTTATTTTGTCAAAAAAATAATTCTCTTAACTGTTTGAAAAGCTAACTCATTATAAAAAAACTTTTCAACAACTACTGCACCAAAACCTCTAAAAACATAATGCAAGAATGAAAAATTAAAGAATTAATGAGATGAAAATTAAATATTCACATACCGCAGCAAATAATGTGATGGATTTGATTTGGTGACTTGTAATAATTACCATCAATTAAATAAATTCAAGGCACATCATATCTTTTACTAAAAGTTTCCATGGAAATATAATTGGACCCATTTAGTTATCAATCTAATGTGACTTTCTTGAATTTGACAAAGACCAGTACAAAATTATAGCACGGGACTACTGTTAAACAGTATTATTATTCATATCATGTATGTAATAGATAACCATCCAGATGAACCTCAGATGATTAGATAAAATGGCTTCTTGCTAAATTTATACGTTCAGATACTTCTTAACAACTTAATTTTGTGAAACACTGTAAGCCTCAAAACTGATTGAATCACAACTGTTTTACAAGTCATTTTTTATTTATTTTTATTTATTATTTTTATTTATTTATTTTTTTTTAATGATTATATTAAGATAGGGAAAAAAGACAGTTAACTTATCTATTAAAAATGAGAGAATTTGGAATTCTTTTTATTGTTGGCAAATAATTAACTGCACAAATTTATAGCATTAGAAAAGTGAGATTTTTCAATAAAAAGAAAATGACATTTTTTAGAATACGGTTTTTGTTTAGCCCAATTTATTAATTACATATGAATTTCCTATTTCAATCATAAATTTACTGAACGGCAAAGATATCAAAAGAGTATACAAAGTTGATTACAAATATTATTTCAAAAAGCCAAAGCGATAAACAAGTTGCAAAATATTTTCAAATTGGATGCAGGTTACCTCTGATGTGATTTAAAATTCACCTCCTACATGACTATGCTGCTGTGCAAAAAGTAAGAATGCTGATTTTTCTGAGTCTTTCCTTCAAGGATGAGCTCAAATTCTATCACAATTTTTCAATTCTTTCTAGCTAATTTCACTTCATATCCTTCACCATAGCACATGATTCAGAAACTTCAGACTTCTGGTAGTAGCATACAAGGTATGAAATGATAGCAATGCACAGCATGGAAGTAAAAATAGTACAGAAAACAATAGTAGTATGTATGATATAATAATATTAGTATACCTATGCATATGAGCTTTTTAATTTTCCACATTTGTTCTTTAATGTATATTCTCAATAATGGCACATACATAATATTACCTTAACAATTTTCAAGCAATAAAATAAGTGACAAAAGAAGAGAAAATATGTGAGCAAAACCTTTATAGAAGAAAATTTGATTACTTGTATATTAAAACTTAATCATGGTTATATTTAAATTTTGTTTTAAGGAACATATTTTATCTATTTAAGGATCTATCATAACAAATTAATTGAAAATTAATAATATGAAATTTAAAGAATAATATACTATAAGAACAACCAAATTGTAAGTTCATAAAATTTTTCAGAAATATAATTTAATTTTCATATCCATTTAAAAAAATTTTCCAAATTTTCAAACTAGAAAATGACGACGAAAATACTGGAATATACTAAATATAAAATATGAAAAATATGTATATTATTAAGCAATGAATGTATACTGAATATATATATTAAAGAGCCAGATACATTTTCTAAACTATCTGTTCTTGAAGCAATTTGATTCTTTAAAAATTTATTGGAACTACTTAAGAAAAACTAAACTATATAAAACAGAAAATACTTTTAAATAAATTAATGCAATAATTTATATATTATTTGCATGATTCACTTATTTTTATTAGTTACATTCTTTATTTAACAATCCCTGTTTTAGATTGCTTTCACTTTCTAAATTGCCTGTATATTGCACATGCGAGTCCAGATATAAATGAAAGGTGTAACAAGAGTACATGATAATGAAGTTTTGAATTTTTTATAATAATTTAAAAATAATATTAATAAATAAAAAATTTAAGAAATTAGTTAATAATACAATTTTTAAAAGTTCCTTCACAATGCATACACAATTTCTATGAAAACAATTTTTTGGAACATTCATATAATAAAAAATATGTAAATTTAAGGTTAAATGCTACCTAATTTTAAAGCTTTCTTTTATTTACTCTTACCCTCTCTAGTGGCTAAGCATGTTGTGGCTTTTAAAAGAAGTTCATTTTGTTGTTCACAACCAATAAAATTCCCTAAGATAAACCAAAGAAGACAATAGATATCTAATAAAACAGAAAAGAAATCAGAAATGCACATATCTAATCAGGGATTCAAACCTAAGCACATGATGTTAAAAACGAACATTTGCTAACCACCGTACCATTTACAGAAACTTTCCATCTAAATGCTGCTTTGATAGTTGTTAAAAAGCCTTAAATTAAAAATGGCACCCATTTAAACTCCAATTCTTTATTATTATTTAAGAACTTACAATTTTTACGCACTTGATTAAAAATTACTGTCATCTGAAGAATGATTCACATTCATATATACTTTTTGTTTCTTTCACCAATGAGAAGGATGCTGACTCGCACATTTATGCCATATGGAATTAATGCCACCTGATGGCACTTTACACAAAGCACAATGTCTGTAACTAGTCATGTACAATGAAACTAGCGATCTATAATATACAAAAGCACAGTAGGTACATGATGCAGATAGCCACAGTGTGTTAGGAAAGCAGACAGTTTCAGTTTTTTTATTGTTGACACATGCAGTCTCAAATAAAACTTGGCATAAAAAAATGCACCTGTTGTTTAAGAATACCTGTGCTCCTTACAGTATTTAAAAATATATTTGTACACAAAGAGAGCAGCAGTATTAGCAAATTGGTAGCAGCAAAGCGAGAAAAAGAATGCCATGTATCCAAGATGAAAGTTCAGATCAGAATGTTTCAGTTTTAGCTTAGATTTGTCCCTATTGGGTAATTCTAAGTTTTGGCCAATAATTATTTAAAATCATTATTGGCTGAAGCATTATGTAAAGTGCCTGTATAATAAGCATTATATAAAAGTCATATGAGATGGATTAATACTGAAATGACACACTTTAAACAGGTTTATTATTAACAGTTTCTGTTTTTAGAATGGAAATAATGCAATTAAAATTTGAAGTTAAGGGAGTAGTGCAAATTAAAGTTATAATTTTTATTTGCATATCTTTTACCATACATAAATACCTACAAATCGCTTGTATATTACTAGAAACATCCTCTCTTTTAGTATTTTCTTTGTAAAAGACATATGAGAAAATATTTTAATGACTTTAAAATAATAGGAGAGTTCCAAATATCTATTTAAATTGGTAATAAAATGCATTACAATAATCAGTATTGCACATTAATATAGAACCTTTTTTAACTGAATTTTACTGCACATCAGACAGAAGTGCATTTTATTCCCAAAATAGAAAATAAATAACTTAAAATTCTCAATCCTGCATATTAGATCCTGCATTACTTATCAGAAATAATAACAATGTACATCATATTTCAAAAATAAGAATTATGAATGCCTTCCAGTAGGCAATTAGATGAATCAAATTTTACAGTATCTGAGCATTTAACAACTTCAGTTTAAATACTCATTATATTCAAAAGTCCTTTGTATATTGTCGAAAACTTTTTCACGTGTTACAAATGCATATGCATTAAGATGCATGTAAATAAATGACTGAAAATCATAAATTAGAAGTAAATGAAAGCCAAGTTATAAATGCAAAATATGTACATGTTTTAAACATTAAGGGAATAATTGCTTAATTAAAGAGATATATAAGAAAATTAATATCTTAGAAAGGACTGCTTTTTAAAGTACAATGTATTAAATATAAATTATAATCAGAATTTAAATGACTTCAAAATTTGCCTGAGATAACTGAAACAAAACATACTTCTTTAAAATGCTCATTGAGAAGCTAGTGTAACAATGCAATGTAACATAAATAATGAAAATCAAAACATAAACAATGCAAAATAAGACAAATTTAAGTATACAAAATCTACGCCAGTGAAGTAAAAACCATACTTCCACCAAGTCCTTTTTAAAGAAAAAATTAATACCTAAATAATATTCAAAGCATCAGTTTGGAAAATTTTTAATTTTCCCTCAGAGGATAAAGTACAACTGTACAAACATTTTACACAGCACAGGGAAATTTTAATTAAATTTTTTCATTGCAATATTCCTATTATTTTTATATACATAAATGCACTCTTCTGAGCCACTGAGAATACTTAAAAAATAAAAGTGATCCATTACATGGAATATTCAGATAATAAATTTTAAAAAAATCTATACATATGATAGTTTATATTTTAAAATTCTTAATGTTAATTTTCATCAAAAACAACAAGGAATCCTTCAACAAAATCTTACTCTTAAAATGACAACAGAATACACTTTGAAAGCAAAGTGCTGGGAACAGCAAGAGAATTATTTATATGCATTAAAATTATTTAAAGCATTATTATCATTACTAATTCAAAACATTTAATAAAATATTCCAGCATAAATGATGAATACATACATATCGTATTTTTAAAAATAAAAATAAAAGTGCAATAATTTTCAAACAATTTTACAAAATCAGCCATTAGTAGATGAAAACAGATTTGGCAAAAACTGCAAATATAAATATCGACAAAATATAAATCTGCATGAGAGGTGAAACAAAAAATAAACTACCATTTGAGAGATCTCACTGTATATTAAAAATTAAGCCTGTCAAAATATTTTTATAAATAAAATTTACATAAAATTAAGTTTTGTGTGATAAAATACATGCAGAATAAGTTTCATTCAATATGTTTATTAAAACAGAAATGAGAAGGAAAAATTTAAGATTCACTTAAACCAGTTATTCCCAAACTATGCACTAATAGCACTGATGCTGACATAATGGACTTAACAGATTGTTATGAAATATTCCAGCATTTTATCAAAATGATTCTTAGCAGTTTATTCAAGAAACATTAATTAATCAAATCATATCTTAGATATATAAACTTTATGTAGTAGATTGTATGGTATATGCATCAATAAGTAAACTAACAACTGTATGTAATTTCATGTTTTTTAAATCTTTGGATAATTAAAATTTTAAAAGGTAAAACTGTGAGAAATTAATAGCCACATAGGATAAACAAAAAGAGTTAACGAACAAGTATAAATCACCAACTGTTTTTGAAAAACACCTAACAGTTTATCAACTAGCATAAAAAATACTTTTTAGATGATAACATCAGCAAGTCTGTACACATTTAACTTACCATCTGAACTTACTGCTATGCAGAAAAAATCTTAGCTATCTTGTGGTTATACAACTGGGTTACTAACAATTGTACCAATAAAAAGCAAACATCATGAAAAAAAATGTGCAATAGGATATGAAGTCCAATTTAATTCTAATATTTCAAAAGATATGCAATGAACAAAAAGCTCACTCAGCCTGTTATTTTCAACGTATTTATTCATTCAACATGATTTTATCTATTTAACGGTTTTTCAAAATCTAATTTTTAATACACATTGTTTGTGAATTTGAAATATGTATTTCATTTACATTTCAATTCAGCTGCATTATTTACATACTATAACTTATGTGTATGCAACTTATGTTCTTTTATGTTCATTTGATATGGCAAAAACTTGAATACACTAAAAGTGCTTAACAGAGACAGTTGGGCAAGTGTTGGCTTAAGCAACACTAAAAGTGAGGGGGAACAATTCAACCTCTACAGGAAAAAAAAAAAAAAAAAAAAAAAAAAAAAAAAAAAATCAACAATATTTCATTTTTAGTAAGCAGTATTTTAAAAGTTTCCTAATGATCAACCAAGTAGAAAAAAATGTCTTATGATCAAAACACAAAATGCAGCAATGAATGCAGCAATAATTTGGCTATTCTAAAAACTATATTTTTTGTACACTATATGGAAAATTATTAAAGTTAATTTCTTTTCAATAAATAAAATAAATGGTGTAATTTAACAGTTTATTTAATGCATAGAAAACGTAAAATCTGAATTTTTTAAATATTTTTTGATTTTATATTCAATTAAAAGACTTGCATAGATTAATTTTTATTGCATAGACTGCATTGCATATTATATTACTGAATAAAAAATTTTTAATTCAATCAATTTAATCTATTTTTATTATAATGGCATCAATTTCACAATGCCTGATTTCAACTTCTGCTGTTGTATCAAACTGCCATATACAATTTACAATTAACAATAATTTAAGCATCATTTAGCATCAAATATAGCAATTAAAGCAATTTTTGATGAACTATCATATGCTGTTTGAGATGGTGCTTCAGGCGAAAAGTATTTCCACA